GAGATGTCGCATATCTGCTTCTGCCACACTTTGAAGATCCCCTCCATGGGTTGAACGGACAGTTGCTCACTACAACCTTCACACATGCAAAGTGCACTTTATCACCTCCGCTGCATGCTCTGCAAGAGCCAGGCAAGCTCAAGTGATGCAGGGCTGGCAGCATTTCCGGCCTTTGCAACGCCGTCCTCCTGAGGCATACGGGCGGTGGTCACAATGGCAATGTATGGCCCTGCTGATTCAACGTCCATCCTGGGCACAGTGAAAGGCAGAAGCGAGAAAAGTAAAAGTATCCCCGAACCGTACTGGCGAGGACCACGAATCCGAAAGAATCCACAGATGCAACCAAGCATCGGCACCTCGATTTTGAGAGTCGTCCGCAGCATGGCCTGCACAATGCTGAGAAGCGATGGCGTCAGTCCTGCAAGGGGGAAAATTCACAAGCCGGCATCCGTTAGTTGTCGCTGTGAGATGATCGCAATTGATGCGCTTGTGACTGCCTCTTCCCGGCAGGGGCACGCCGGATTTTCTTCTGCTTTCAATGCGGCTCCTGCGAAGTGATGCATCGGACCCACATCGAACCAGCCTTTGTCCATGGCACTGACGTTATAAGCCAATGTTCTCAAAGCGGGTAGCTGAATGACGATGGGCTGCTGCAAAAAGCAGAATCTATGGAGTCTATGGGCTGTGCGGGATTGTTCTCATTATTAGCCCTACGGATTCACTTGGTGAGTTGGCACGGACTCCCATGTCTTGCTTTGAAGCCCCATACCTGCACATAAGTAAAGGTTTCTGCACAATGCACAGTGGGCAACAGCCGCCACGTCAAATACCCCTGCTCACACCAACATATATCCAGCCCAGCCGCTTTACTCTTTTCGATCATTTTTCACCTACGTCGACCTACGGTGCTTACGTTTATGTGCCAAGTGAATACAAAGGTCCGAACACAACGCGAAACGCTGCTACTTTCACAAGGAATCGTCGTCTCCTTTGTCACGTAGCGGGTTTTCGGCAGTCTGTTGCAGCCAAACATAGCTCCCTTTTAGAGTGGGGTGGGGGGGGTCTGAAAGGAAATTGGGTATTGGAAAATCATCAACATCGTTTCCTCGCGGGGGTGGGTTTAGGGACTTTCTGGAAGTAATGAGCCAGAAAGGCTTGGAGGCCAGTATGCCAGTGTGGGAGTGCTATTATGGAAGTTGGGAAGCTGAGCGGAAACTCCCAGCTGCCAGCATGCCAATGGAGCACAACACACGTGCGACATGCCAGTTCACCTCAAGTTAAGCACTTTAAGGAAAGTCAAGGCATGCGTAGTATGGCACCAACTTCAATTTCAAGCGGATTCTTCACCTTTGGAAGAAAACGAAGTTCGTACGTCGCAAACAAGCTCGGCAACGCTTTTCGGCGTGCAAATACTCACACATCAAGAACCTACTCGACCTACTCGGGGTTCGCCTGTGCTTCCGCAACTGTTCGGCGGAATCTTGCATCAAATCCTCACGCCGTGCCATCTCTGCTTGTACCTAGGAGGCTCGAACCTTCTTAAAACCCGGCGGGGGAAAGGGAACGACAGCAGTACGCACAAGAAGACTTCGTTTTGGTCCGCACAGCCCGAGATCACACAGTGCACATGAAACCTCCTGCATGCAGGAGATGACGTTTTAGGTAGGCTTGCACTGCTCTAGCACTTCAGCTCTCTTTTTTAACCGTGTTGGATCTGTAGGCTGGCGGCTAACCAAAGGCTGACCGAGCAAGAAGGCATGATCGGTCATACAGGAAAATACCCCCGGTTAGTCTTGGTGAGAAACGAGTGAAAGAGGCTTGCAATCGTTGTGAATTAAGGCAAATGCTGAGGCAGCAATGGCTGAGCATCACATTGCACAGTGATGGCTGCAAAAGGCAGGGCTTTTCGCTGTAGGCGATAGGTAAAACCGTACCCCCGGGAGCAGGCGTCCGGGGTTGAAGTAGGCCTAGGCGGCCACTTGGCGTGAGACAAGAGCTGGGCTCGCGTGAAAAGTCAGAAGGCTAGTCAAGAGGCGAAGTCGGCGTCGCGTGGCAGACCTGAGCGCGGGGGTTAGGGAGGGAAACCCGAGGGGTGGGGCTTGCAACTCGTGGCTGACGTCGAAGAAGAAGAAGGCCTGCAGGGCAAACGAACTGCGGTAGGTTAAATAAGCTTCGAAGGCAAGGCCGAGGCTGTCGATCAGGGATCCAGGGCTGGGTCCACGGTTGTCTTGTGCAACCTGAAAGCAAAAGGCTATCGATTGGCTTTGCATGCGATAGCAGCAGCCCTCGGTGCGCGGCGGCAGCGCTGAATGCTGAATACCTGGCAAGGCTGCAGGCTAAAGGTGCGGGGCTTTTCGAGAACTGCAAGTGCTAGAGCCAGGCTACACGAAGGCATGTAGGCATGTCACGTGTAGAGATTCACAAGCTCCGAAAACATTCCTGAAACAAAACAGGTAACGTTTTAGGTAGGCTTGCACTGCTCTAGCACTTCAGCTCTCTTTTTAACCGTGTTGGATCTGTAGGCTGGCGGCTAACCAATGGCTGACCGAGCAAGAAGAGATGATCGGTCATACAGGAAAATACCCCCGCTTTGGTGACAGATCCAACCGGTAAACAGGGCAGTAAGAAGAGTTCCCCCACCGCGGGCGGTGGAGCTGGACCTGGGCAAGACAGGATGTGGCAGAAGGTTCTAGGCTAGAACATGTGGGCAGCAAGCGGCAGAAGAGGGCTATCTGATATTTTCGCCCCGCGGCTAGACCTCTCTGTGGGCTGACTTGGTCAGTCCTGTCGTGGCAAGTGGCAAGAGAGGGCTGGGCACTTCGGGTGCGCTGGCCCAGGAGGCCTCAGAGGCAGCGGAGGCAAGGCGTTTCAGTGAAATACGGACGCTCTCTTGCGGTCTATGGTTAAAGGCTTGGAGACGTCCTCGGCTGAGATCGTCTGCCCACTGATTGTGGGCTCCCGCCACGTGGGACACTTGAAGGTCAACCCCATGGCAGGATGACCAAGAGGCTATGAGCTGAAGGAACTGGGAAAGCGGCCAGCTGGGCGTAAACAACTTGTTGACACCCGCTTCAGAAGGCGTGTTATCGCTCTGTGAAGGCAAGCAGACCGCAAACTGAGAGAAGGCGTGCCGCTCACGCGCGGTCATGGCTAAGGCCAGTTGGGCTAGGGTCTCGAAGCAGGCGATGTACTTCTGGGCATCCTTGGTGAGAAAAGGCCAGGTGTGTCTGACCTCATCCGTGCTCCAGGACTCGGCAAACCACGCCATGCTCTGCTTGGTAGTGATCCACCCCCTATGCCGACCCTGTCTCCTTCCGCTGTCCTGGGCAGCCTTGGAAAGCCTTATCTCAGGGCATGTTGGGTCGGATATAGGCGGACCCAAGTAGGGCCTGAAGACTTGGGTTGCGCTGGCAGGTCGGCCTTGCAACGCACGGGTCGGCTGCCGACCTCGATGATGCGTGCCTTGACAGGCAGGTTGACTCCGGGTATGAGACGGCAGATGACTGCCCTGGAGTCGAGGCTGTGTAGGAAGGCTGGCCGCATTCGTGGGGAGATAGAGCAGTTGCTTCCTGGAGGGCTGTTGAGAACGCTATGGAGTGGTGCGACGTGGGCTCGGAGGACTTTGCTTATGGCTGTTGCCCACATAAGCAGACCAATGCATGCCTCGAGGTCCTTTCTGGGGACCTTCTTCTTGGCCAAAAGAGCTCGCAGCTGACTGCAGAGCTTCGCAAAGCTCCACGGTTTCGAGGCCAAAGTTGAAATGCCAAACGCAGCACACAAGGCTGTCTCCCACCGAGGCCTTCTTCCAGCTGATGGGAGCCGCTAGGCTAGATAAGGTGGCTATAAGGAGGAAGAGAAGCTCGGGAGCGTGTGCCCGGAGCAGGGCTGTCAGCAGGTCATCGACATACAGCCAGGCTTTGTGAGGGGCAAAGGCTAGGGCATGATGTGCGATTCGAGTGACAAGGCCTCCTACGCGCTGCCACCAGTAGGCAGAGAACTTGTCTCCGAAATGACAGACCACATACCTGAAAGGATCTTTTCTTATTTGCTGCCACGTAAATCGCTTGCAAATCTAAGCTCGTATATTTCATAATATGTTGTACCCAGGAGGCTCAAAACTTTCTTAAAACCCGGAGGGTTTAAGGAAAGGGTTTAAGGAACAGGGAACGACAGCAGTACGCCAGTACGCACAAGGAGACTTCGTTTTGGTCCGCACAGCCCGACATCACACAGTGCAAATGAAACCTCCTGCATACAGGAGATGACGAGAGGGATTTGCCCCCCCATCCAGATTGGGCTGTTATGAACAGACCATATGAGAAATAATATACAGGGTGGGCCGGGTGGGACACTAAAAGGACTAAAAGTCCCCTTCCGGTTGATCCAGAATGTATCGGCGCGATATATACCGTTGAACTGACAAGGGGCGAATAGCCCACAATCAAATGCCATAAAATCACTAACAACTGAAATGATGAATCAAAGAGTTGGAAAGTACCTCCTTTGAGGAGGAGAGTTAAAAGGTAAAACTTCTTCAAAATCATCCTCACATAAATGTTTCGCAAAAGGGAGAACTGAAATGAATCGCGTGAAAAGGAAACTGAAAACTGCAAGCAACTGACATGACTGACATAACTGACATGACTGAGAGCAACTGCATGTAGGCCGTGGACCGAAGCCCGATGGCTGAGGCGTACAGAACTGAGAGTGGTCTCAAGCCCCCATTGTTCCCCCCCTCCCCCCCGGGCCTCCTTGGAACAAACTGTTTGGCCCGCTTCGCTACCCAAACTAGGCTTGTACCCAGGAGGCTCAAAACTTTCTTAAAACCCGGAGGGTTTAAGGAAAGGGTTTAAGGAACAGGGAACGACAGCAGTACGCACAAGGAGACTTCGTTTTGGTCCGCACAGCCCGACATCACACAGTGCAAATGAAACCTCCTGCATACAGGAGATGACGAGAGGGATTTGCCCCCTTTCGCAGACGAGGGCATCTCCTTTCCCTCATCCCCACTGACTTTTCTCGAATCTTATTCGAGGAGCTGAGGTTGTTCCATCATCCGCAATCGAGGCCTTGATGGAATCAAGTTCAGACTGAAAGCTCGCGAATCTCAAGAGAGACGGCAGAACTGATAAGGTCATATCTGACCAGCTGAAGGGCAGTCTCAAGTTTTCATCGAAGTCCTCGAAAACATGTTTGGTGATGCGGTCCGCCTCCTGATTGGAGTCCCTGGGCCTCCAGCTGAGATTGCATCTGAAACCCAGAGCGTCACAAAAGGTGACGAACTCCATCACCACAAACATGAGTGGCACTCGAGTCGTGAGCAGCTTGCAAGACAGCGCCTCGGCAGATTTATTATCAGTCCCGCCACAGAAGCTAGCACGGAAGTGTCCAGGGACTGACCAAAGATCCTTGAAATGGCGTCTCAACAAGTGGAGCGCTGCCAACGATGCGAGAACCTCAGCGGAAGTGCTCGCCCACGAGCTGCCCGAATCCTTCTTGAAAAGCCAAGGAACTTCATCCCTGCCCAAGATGATCTGAAACCATGGTGCCTTCTTTGGGTCCGGTCCTTTGTGAAGAAACCATCCGCCCAGGACCACGGAAGTATCATTACAAGCTGCATCCGTGCGGAAAAGCTCCCCAACGTCCTTCTCAAGACGGCCTGACTCGTAAGTGCGAGCACCGTGCCTCAAGCGGTCAGCGATAAACCTCAAGACACAACGGATAAGGTTGGGTAGCGCGAGAACCGCTCCCTTCCGTACAGCAGCCAGCCAAGCGTAACCGGGAGCCAAGAAGGGTCTAATCCAGATCAAAACCTGGGACATGAAACCGAGTCTCCCGTGAAGCTCATGAAATCGTCGGACATCAACAAGCCAGCCATTTCCCTCCATGGATTCGATGCCACTGATGATCCAATGGCACCTCTTCTCAGAAATTCCCAGCTTGAAGCGCCCATAATCAATCCAATAACCGACCCAATCAAGCTGCAATCCTCCACGCCATTTTCGTTCTGAAAAGGGGGTACCCTGGAGGCAAAGAAGCGCAAGGGACATCCAAAGATTGAGCCAGCGATCGGGCCCCCCACTGAGCACATGAAGATCATCAGCATAAATGAGCATGAAGAGGAATGCCTGAAGAAGAACTCTGAGGGAAAGCCTGCCCACAAGACCGATGATCCGCGCAAACCAATAAGCCGCTGAAGCAATTCCGAAAGTCCCGGTGCGATTGACCCAGACCACAGAGGAATCGCTCCGAGTTCTGCAGGAGAGCACCCCCCAATGGTCGGGATGGTGCAAGTAGCGCCTGTGCGCCTTTTTCACGTCCCCCACAAGCCCGAAGAGGACTTTCTCATCAGACACGTTGCCCAGCTTTTGGATCGCGGACACTTCCCTAGCCCCTGGCGATTCAAGACGGTCCAGCATAACAATCTCATTGTTGACGTGGACCCCGTGGGTCCCATCATGGACCACACGAAAGTCTTGGTCAGGTTTCGGAATCACTGCCTGCGCTGCAATACGAAGTGCCGCCCCCGGATAGCGGGCCCAGGCCTCTGAAAGAGAAAGTGGGAACATACGGCCTTCTGCCTCTTCTTTTGCAAATGCCTCCTCAAGCGATTTTGCAACCTCAGGGCCGTCCCGATAATTATCCATCAGCGGTTGCCAGTCGGACTCATCGTATTTCTGATCCTTTCGACGAGCTCTGAAGACTTGAGGGACCGGCCCCAATGGCGCAGTGTGTCCGACCTCCACACCATTCACGAAGCAGAACTTGCCCTCCTCGATGATGCGGTAGTCGGGATCCTCCAAGATTTTTAGGGTCTGTGCCATTGCCCTCAAGTAGAATGGCTGATGAGGGATCAGCTCCCTTGCTCGTACAGGATCCGGCAGCATGCAGAACCAGTCCTCGCGAAGTTTGTCCATTGCCTCCGGAGCGAACAAGGGACCATTCCAATGCCCCGTCGCCAGACGAAAAGTCGCTTTTGCCAGATCAGGCACATTTTCAAGAACAAACTTTCGAACACGATCCTTAAGCTGTTGAGCGAAGGAAGTGGCGGCAGGAGACATGTGGCGCCCCCGGCAGATAGGTTTCCAACGCCCCGGCGAGCATCTACCGAAGCCGTCCACAAACTCGTCAGTCGCCCCTGCGAACTCGCCCACCAAGGGCGGTCCCTCACAGCCAGACTTCAGCTCACTATAAGGTAGGTCCTCAATCTCCTTCCCATCGTCACCAGCATCCCCTGCGGTCGTGGTCTCGCAGTGGCCCCGCTTTCGCTTTCCTGGCAGGTCGAATCCCAAGTCAAGTAAAGCATCCCGGTCCGATTCCACAAGCTGTCCGTCGTTCGCAATGGCGTACCCGGCCAGGACCAACCGACAACCTTCCCAGTCCTCCGTGGAATGCCAGACATGTGGATCGAAGGTAATCTTGCCGCCGTCCCAGTCCAGGATATGACCCGACAGCCAAGAACCATTTATGAAACGACGGACTGAACCGCCCTCCGACTGAACCCAGAGACCGCCACCCGAAAACCCTGAACAGGCCAGAAGCAGATTATCAAAAGGTCCATTCGTGGTGTCCCGGTGCGGCGGTTGCTTAAGATCACGAAAGAATGCTAAAGAAGTAAAGGATCGGCCAGGGAAGCCACACGAGAGCAGCTTGGCCAATAGCTCTGAAGACAAGGGAAAACTCCTCGTGTTGCGCCGGATGCCAACCTTGTCAGAGTGAACAAAGGCTCCTGCAGTGAACGATCGCTGACCTTCGACAACCTTAGAAGTCTGTCGAACTCTGTCTTCATCCGGCAGTAATTCAGAAATGCGCAGAAGTTGCCCGTGAGAAATTGTCCCATTCCTCAAGCATTCCGCAGCAAGTCGCTCCGCAGGGGAAGCGCCCGAGCCAGCCTCAACTTCCTTCGCTGGAAACTGAAAACATGGTTCCAGCAGCTGTGTAGGAGCCGATGCAGCCAGTGTTCCCCCCCCATCGAAGACGGAGAAACACCATTCAGCAATGGTTCTGCACAAATCGTCCGGGTAAGCTGCGGCCGCGGAAGTAGCGGCAGGCCCGAGCAGTTTTTGCTGATGTCGATGACCACAGTACTTCGGTAAAGGGCCGAGGTATCGATCTGAAGCGTCAAACCGAGGCGGCCCAGTGAAGGGCATTCGAGAAGTAACCGGAATAGAAGACAGAAAACGTGTGGGCTTGGGCGAAAACGCCCCATATTGGCATTGGTATACTGCGAAAGTGATGACATTCTCATGCTTGAAGAGAGCAACGGCCTCCGGTAGCTGCCATATGGAAGCCGGAGCATGACCGTTGGTAGTGAGTCCCAAATCTTCAGGATGCTCAAGTAGAAAAGGTACTGAATTCGAAAGCGCATTTGTGCAGACCTCAAAAGCAAAAGAGACAAGCTGATTGCCATGTTCAACAAGAGCTCGGTGAGAATCAGATAGCCACGGAAAGCCCCGAGAATAAAGACGTGATCGCAGTGGCCGAGGACCCGGCTGCACACACCGAGCCCGCGAAAATGTCCCACAAGGTGGGGTCACCAAAACCACATCCCACTCAGAGTTCTTAACCTCCTGCAAGCATCGATCCGCGATGGCAGGATCCAAAAGGTCTAGTTTGGGATCGCGGCAGATGTCAATTTCAGACATTACCAAAGTGATACTCTGTGCCTTGCAAAGCGCCTCCAGGGAGCCACGAACATCCGATTTGCGAGTGGGACCTGAAAACAGATACAACACGCGAAGCGTAGGACGTATCCCAGAAGTACCATCGCCAACTGAATTCAACGGACCACGGCGAAGTCAGGAGCCACCTTGCGCGCCGTGCTGATATGCTGGATGGTTGCCTTGGCAGCCCTTCACACGACATGCGTGAACGCGCTGGCAGCCTTTGACCTGACATCCCCGCTTGATGTTGTATGCATAACACAGCTCGCGACCATCCGGGGTCTTGGCCACCAAATCGTACCAGGACTCCCCGACCTGAATCTTGCCAGTGGACTTGCCCCCTTTGCCGTCCTTGCCACCTTTGCCGTCCTTGCCGCCCTTTTCCCCTTTGCCGTCCTTGCCTTTGCGGGGCCACTTTGGAGGGGGAGGATCATGAGCGGCCGAACGTTTTGACAAGGCGATCTGAGAGGTGAAGTGGAGCTCCTTGAGCTCGGTATTCCGAGTGGCCTCATACAACTTGTCACCGAGCGGGGTACCGTCGCGATGGGCCTCCTTGATAGCCCACTTACGAAGCTCAAACTCGTACTGAAGCAAGACATTCCAAGGCACAGACAGTGCCTGTTTCTCCGCATGAGAAGAGCTTGCTGGAGCAGTGGAAGCCACTTGCATGCTGTAACACTTGTCACCCAACAGGAACTCAAGGAAACGATCAAAGTGTGACAGCTGCAGCCCCTGCAAATATGCACGACCGCGACACTTGGCTGAGAGCATGACCCAAGTGGAGGCCTCGAGGCGAAGCTTCGCCCGCAGCTCCTCCGTATTCTGCGGAAGTCGACCCTTTGGCTTCTGTCGCATGACCCGAAGCCGGCCCTGATTGTCCAAGGAAGTCTGAAGTTGCAGCGAGTTGGACTCTTTTCGAGAAATAACTTCATCAAGATAGCATTCTCAATCTGTTCAAGCTTGTGTGCCAAGTACTCAGGCGCCGGCTCCTCGGACTCCGGCACGGTGTAGCCGCGAACAGCTTCCAGGGCGACCCGCATGGCCGCGCGATCCGAAGAGGCGAGTGGCTTCTGAACACCCAAAACCTTAGCCTCAGCACGAAGCTTAGCCTCCTCCTCACGAATCATCTTGGAAGCTTCCCACGCAGTGATGATGCATGCCATCCTAGCTCGATCCGCCGCGCTCTCCGGCCTGATAGCGAAATCGGCTGTAATCGCAGTACGAGCTGCCCCACGATCATCAGCGAAAGCAGCAAAAGTGCGAATGCTCTTGTAATGTTGACCGATAGCAAACTGAAGTGCAAGTTCGACCCCGTGTTCCTCAAGAAGGAACACAAAGTCTGCATCCACATTAGCCTGCAAGTACGCCCGCTGCGCAGCTGGGTCCGCGGCCATGACGCTTCACTACCGCGGGTCTAAAATCAAGTCACCTAAAAGACTGACAGAATGCACTGAAGCTGAAGACTGAAACCCCGAAGGGGAGCTGAAAGTGAAGCAAGCTTCGCAGATCTGAGAGTTGCCACATCGTGACACACATGTTCTGATATCTGATAAGGGAACCTTGAGCATACCGCCGGCATCCCACAGAATTTGCGCGAAGTTGCGCCAGAGCTGAAAGCACTCACGCATGGACTGATAGTGCACTGAAAGCTGCACGCAGAGCGCCCTCCCGTCTTTATTCACACACACTTCCAACGAGTTGCATCAAGTGTGAAAAGATGGGTCGCCCAACTCGAGCGGCTCTGCTGGCTCACCCAAGTCTGTGGAGGAAGACTCCCCCGAACTTGAAGATGAGCTCTCCTTATCACGATAGCACAATTTACAGAAACTGTCGGCCACCGAAGAATCAACCTTCCACACCTCAGCGAAGCGATGACAACTACCGGGAGTGACCCAGCAGCCATTCCGTATGTGCAGCCGCCTGTGCCCTGAGTGCCTGCTGATGCTCACCCAAAACGGAGACTCTCCAGAATCTTGTGAAGAGTTAGAAACCAACGGGGCCGGGGCAGCGTCGTCCGACCTTTCGGTGGCATCCTCAAGCAGCGGCCATCTCTGATTCAAAACCTTGCAACCATTCACGGTGCGCATCACGGCATGAAGCTTCAACCAAGGTTCAGGGTCCAGGCCTCTCTCCCGAAGCCAGGCCCTAAGCTCATCAAACAACTCTTCCTCATCATAGCCAGGCTTTCCGCCCGAGAGTTTGTCGCAAACCCGTTGCTGCAAGTCATGCACGATCTGGCGACATGTATGTATGTAATCAGCACTCTGGTGCAGACCGACATGCCACCTGCCAAGGTAATCTCTCTGCTCCTTCGGAACACCAAGCACCGCTGCAATTGTCGGCAAAACATGTCTCATACTGTGACCTGTCCAGAAGAGATAGCACTCATCGCCCAGCAGCTTCCCCTCAGCCCTGGATCTCCAAACATCTTCACCGAGCTTCCTGAATGGAACCAAAAGCTGGCGCCAAATAAGACGCATGTAATTGCTAATGACCTCCGGCTTGGCGAATTTGTAAGACGGCTCCTCAAAATCTTCAGAAGACTGGAAAACCAAGAAAGTGCGATCAAGCTGTCCCAAGCTTTTCCACAGGTCAAATCCAGTGCCCAACCAATCACGTCCTGATATCCCGACACACCTGCCTATAAAGAAAGGAACTTCGGCCACCTTCTTATCAGGTCCTGTCGTCTTGGTCTTCACTAAAAAGCCCTTAAGCCCCTCACGAAAAAGCCTAAGGCGAGAAACGTCAATTCCTTGCAGATCAGAGACACGCATACAAGCCCATACGCAAACCAAGCAGGCCCACATCAGGCACCGAGCATAATGAGGGTTCGTACCAGTCACCACAAAAATTTCCAAAGATAATAACATCGCCACCGAAAGGGGAGCCGCCTGCTTCCTGCTGGTTTTCCCCTCCTGCACTTCAGCCCCGGTGCTCTTTGAGGCCGCGACGACCAATCGGTTCTTGCACAGCTGATTTGTCAAAGGAACCTGTCCAGCATCCTCAATGACAGACAATGCGCTCATAAGCTCAGAAATGCAGCTCTTTGTACCCACCTCCTGCTCCAAGAAGATGAGGTAATCTACAACATCAGAAGGACTCTTCGGGAAAGGGTAACCTTTCACTGAAAGCATCCAGTCACGAGCCTTGCGCCAGGTCCTTGCACGATTCCTGAGTGTCTTGGACCTCCGAGCCCCCAAGGCTCGGAGAGCATAAGAAACACGCTGCTCCTCATTCTCAACCGGAATGTCAACGATAGGAAGCTTTGCCTCCACCATGATCTGAACCAGGACAGTTCCCCAGAATTTCTTGGAAGATTTTTCTGCATCCGCCGGGGTCCCGGCGCCATTCGAAATCCATCTAGCATGTGCACGACTGGTCTGCTTGCAAAGATCAAGACTATTGCTCACGCACTGATCGAAGATATCACAAGGAGACACCGAATTTCCAGGGGTCGCTTCAATTCGTGTGGCCTTCGCAGTAAGCCTGCTTTGCACCCGCTTGAAAAGACCTGTGTGAGCAGTCATCCACTCCCAGATCTGAGATCCCAACCGTTTGTGGTCCGAAGGAATCGAACTCGGAGTGATCTGCTCTGCCAATCGCACAGCGTCTTCAACACTGTCCACTGCGCATGCCAGGTGCCAAGGAGTCTGAAAGTGAATGCGAAGCAAACCCACAGCACTGCAGCCCTTCTCTTCAAGAAGGCCCCACAGCCTATCTTCCATTGCGCGAAGAAGCCTGAAAAGGCGCCCCCCAGACACTAAAAGGACTAAAAGTCCCCTTCCGGTTGATTCAGAATGTATCGGCGCGATATATATCGTTGAACTGACAAGGGGCGAATAGCCCACAATCAAATACCATAAAATCACTAACAACTGAAATGATGAATCAAAGAGTTGGAAAGTACCTCCTTTGAGGAGGAGAGTTAAAAGGTAAAACTTCTTCAAAATCATCCTCACATAAATGTTTCGCAAAAGGGAGAACTGAAATGAATCGCGTGAAAAGGAAACTGAAAACTGCAAGCAACTGACATGACTGACATAACTGACATGACTGAGAGCAACTGCATGTAGGCCGTGGACCGAAGCCCGATGGCTGAGGCGTACAGAACTGAGAGTGGTCTCAAACCCCCATTGTTCCCCCCCTCCCCCCCGGGCCTCCTTGGAACAAACTGTTTGGTCCGCTTCGCTACCCAAACTAGGCTTATCAGCAATATGATAACAAAAAGGTTCACTCATAAAATTCAAGATGATATATCTCGAAAGGAGGAAATATGAGAGATCGCACTTCGCACTCAGCCTCTTTTGCTCTCAATGGGGATGGTCCATCACTGCCGGCGGGAACGACGGCCTGGCGGTAGGCCCACACACATCAACCATCCCAACCAACATGAAGCGAAAAGCTCAACTTCACGGGTGGGACAGGGCGGGATAAGAAAATTCAAGCTGGCGAGCCACAGCTGCGCATGCTGAGTTTTCTTCTTCTTTAAAATCAGCGATGTTTGAGAAAGGCAATTACCGACGATCCTGTACAAAGTATCATCTCAGTGATATTCACAATAAGAATATCAAAAAACTTCGCAATCCGATATATTCAAATGAATCCAGCTCGATATGAATATGACTCTATCAAAAGAGTCGAGCTCGATGCTCAATGGTATTTCCGGTCAAGTTAAAAATTGACAGCAGAGAAGGTCGCGCACTCTTCGTTTTCTCTTCAGCGATCAGGGGTTTGAACGAATTCGGAATTCGGGAACCATTGCATCCGGGCCGCAGCCGATGCGAAGAGCACGGGCCTGAAGCCGCTCAGAGTTTGTCCCGAACACACCCCCCCCCACAGATGTCTGGGTCGGGCGGGCGGGGAAAAGTTTTAAAAGCTCAGCTCGAGCAATCACTTCGTCACAAACACAAATATTGTCAGTGATGCAAAGAAGCATGGGCATGCGACAATGATCTGTAAAGCATGCCAAATACTCTTCTTGAAAAACCACCCAAAAAGGGAGGCGGAAAGTTAAATCGCATAAAGTGATGTTGCCAAATGTCAAACACGGCCTGCGGCCTGTCGCCGATTTCAAAGAAAGAAAAGTCTGCAGGCAGAAAAGTTTCTTCTTTAAAATCAGCGATGTTTGAGAAAGGCAATTACCGACGATCCTGTACAAAGTATCATCTCAGTGATATTCACAATAAGAATATTAAAAAACTTCGCAATCCGATATATTCAAATGAATCCAGCTCGATATGACTATGACTCTATCAAAAGAGTCGAGCTCGATGCTCAATGGTATTTCCGGTCAAGTTAAAAATTGACAGGAGAGAAGGTCGCGCACTCTTCGTTTTCTCTTCAGCGATCAGGGGTTTGAACGAATTCGGAATTCGGGAACCATTGCATCCGGGCCGCAGCCGATGCGAAGAGCACGGGCCTGAAGCCGCTCAGAGTTTGTCCCGAACACACCCCCTCGGATCGACGAACTCAGAGCAGGTAGGCGTCAATCAAAGATTGGTCAACAAAGTAAGGCTCTACCTCTGCCGCACGAACGACCTTCTGCGCTTTCCAACCTTCGCCCCTGGAGGGCCAGTCGGCGATGTTCGAAGAGGATGGCACCCTCTCTATCCACGAGATGCAAGGGGCGACGGCCTCGACCATAGACAAGGCCAGGGCCAAGCGATGCATCGCGTCACTTCTGCTTTGACCACGCAATACCACAGATCTAGCGGCATCGTTGTCAATGAAGAATATGATTCTCTTTCCTGAAAGAAAATTCTGAAGGCAGGCCCTGATCATCAAGAGGGCATACAGCTCTACCTCACAGATGATTTGCTCCCCGACCTCCTCTCGCCAGCGAACCACTAGGCGCTCAGGGACCTGTCCTTGGAAAACTCTGGAAACGCCGCTGCTCGCATCAAGAATCACTGCACCGATCCCGGCGAAGGCTTTGGCAGGCTCCCAAGCTCCATCAGTCCGCACCAGGATAGGAGGCTCTCCGGTCGAATCGCAACTTATGCAGCGGGGCCTCGTGCTCACAAGAATTTTGATCGTGTGCTTGCACATCTCGCTGACGGTCTTTGGCGAAGGCCTGTCTCCAGCTAGAAAGCCAGATAGCCATTTGCACGAATGCTTGAGGGCACGACCGGCAAAGAAACCAGATGAAAAGTTGAGCAAGCCCAGCAAAATCTGAGCCTGATGAACCGTAAGGAAACCAGAAGCAGCCACAGATTCAAGCTTCTCCACGATCCGATCGATCCTGCCAGGTTTGTTCGAGAGGACGATGCTTCTCTTCGACAAGTTGCTCAAGTCAATCTGCATTCCCAAGACGGAGAAAACCTCCGCGAAAGGATGTGATTTGCTGCCTGTCTTGGCGTGGCCCCAGCCCAGAATGTCTAAGAATTCGCTGATGATGCTATCAGTGTCACTGGAAGAAAGCGATGTCGAAAACATCGGGTAGTCATCAAAGTACACTGAGCTGGGCAGCTTGAATATCTTCAGCAGCAGTTTGTGAAGGCTTCTGCTCGTACGCACGAACCCATAAACCGAAGCAGTAAGACCGAAGAGCAGCGAATTTGCAATGAAGAATTGATCCTCGCCAGAGGGGCCTTTGTGGTAGATCACAGCAAGAGAGCGGTGCTCCTTCTTCATTGGCATCTGCTTGTACGCCTTCGACAAGTCAAGGCACTTGCCCAACCACGACCGAGGGGGCTCGCCCGTGGCGCGTGATCTCTCGGCCTCTTCGATGGCAATCCTTGCTGCTAGAGCTGCAACGAAGTCGGAACTCTGGAGCTCCAACTTGATGGTGGCCGTAAAGCAGTTGTTGATCAAAGCCTCGTGCCCGTCATCAATGGGTCTAGGTTTGTTCTCGGCTCCTTGAAGGATTAGGAACCTTCGTATGCAGTTCCAATCGTCTGAGTGAAAGAAAGAAGACACTTGGCTTTCGGTGTAAGGGCCTTCCAGGAAACCCAGATCGACTTCGTCCATAGTAGCCTTCGACAGCAACTCTTGAAGGTCGGCTGCCTGCGTGCCACTGGATCCAATCATCACCTTTCGGCGGAACGAAGCAGTACCCTTTAGATCCTGTTCCGACATGGTAGCCGGCACAATCTTTCGGTTGAAAGGCTGAGGGCAGGCTGACTGCCCTACAATCGGGACGCCTGACATCATGAAATCGCAAACTTGCATGTCGTCAAAACCGTTCTGGTTCTGCTCAAGAAGATGCTTCCACAGAAGAAGACGCTTTCCCGCCACAACCTTTTCGAACCAAGGGTCGAACGAAGAATGTAATCGAGCCTCGTCGGCCTCGAACTTTTTGGCAAGGATCTTTATTTTCAAAAGTTGAAGCTTTCGATGATCGACCACCTCTTTCTCAGTGTTTTTCACGCAGAAGCTGGTTGCATCGAGCTGATCCTGGTCAAGGGCTACGGCAGTGTCGACGGGATGCTTTAGCGTCAAGGCCTTCGCAACATGATCCTGCATTGACAAGTACCACCCCACCTTGACCGAGCCTTTGGGCGGATCGGAACTCTTAAGGAAACCAGAGGGGGGAACCTTGCTGGAAGCCTCATCCGAAACCCTAGGGAGCTTAGCAGGAGGGTATACCGCTTTATCACTAGCAACCCATCCGTCAGACACAGCTACATTGTCAACTGCATGGCTGTCTTCGGCTGCCTTCTCTCTCCCGCTATCCTTCCCAGCAACCTGAGAGAGAAGGACGCGACAAGAATCGTCAGGCTGGAAAGAGACCGGCTCCCACGTGACCTTGCGGAACTCAGGAATCAAAGGAGGGAAGCGGCGATGCTGCCGACCAAGAACAGCAACGGAGCTGGCTGCCAAGTCAGGAGATGCTTGCAAAGACAAACCCATGAAAGAAGCCGCGCTCTCCAGACAGGAGGCCATACGCTTGCAAAGCAGAACTGGGTAAGCCGACCCAAGAGAAGATGACAGCTGCATAGAACGCTCATGGAACACGAGGCCCCACGGGCGGTGTGTGTGATTGCCTGGGCAAGTAGCTCGAAGCGAGGTGAACAAGCCTCGAGTGCACAAGAAACGAGATGACTTCGGTCGATCGGAACCATGACAACACTGGTCGAAATCAACGTATTCCAAGGCAGCGGGAGGCCAAAGCAAGCCCTCGGCCTCAGCAAAGCATTGAAGAACCTTCCAGAACAACGAAGTCCGAGGATTCTCAACGCTGACATTGATGCCCGAAGCAGAACAATGAAGGAGAAGCTTGTAGACGAAACGGTACAGGACGTTGTCTCTACGCACCGCAAGGCTCTGCTGAGACCCGGCACTCAATGACGGCAGACCTAACGGGAAGTCCTCGGACCGCAGAGGTTTAGGGGCCTTAGAGGCAAGGGCATGGTTCTTTGGCAGGGGGCGCTCGCGAGAGCGAGAAGCCGTGCCCGCAGGGGGCGATGCATGCATGTGAAAGGGAGGGCACTCCTTGATGAGATCCCAAAAGATTGCCTGTGCTGCATCTAAGGTCAGATCAAGCTTGGCTACGGGAGAGACTGCTCGGTAGCAAGAACTATCTAACCCTAAGACCCGAAAACCCAAATCCTTGCAAGCCTTGCTGAAACGGGCACTGCCAGCGAAAAGCTCGTAAACCCAGGAGTCTGATTTCACAGGCGGCTGTTCCTGGGCAGTCACAGGAATGGGAAAGGAGAGATCAGGCGGGGGCCTAAACCCGAGATTAAGCAGGGTCCTTGCTGACTCAGTTGAGATTTTCTCAAGGCTCGCGACAGTGAAGGCCACGCAAACCAATCGATCGCCAACCCAGCTTTCAGTCTCGTGAGGGTATTTGAAGGCATCGAAAGTGACAGGGGACTCGAGGCTAAGCATTGAGCCTTTTACGATGTCACCTTTGATTGACCGTGTGTGAGGTCCGCATCCATCTGCAATCCAGATGCCACCTCCCTGAAAAGATGTCACGGCTATGACCCCGTTAGGGGTATGATGGTTCCTGGAATCAACATGCAAATCGGTTTTAGTGTTGTGAAACAGACTGATAGTCGTGAAGAAATGATCTGGCAAGAAAGTGCGAACAAAAGTGGTGAAGAGCTTGACGCAGAATGGAAACAGCGCACATTCACTCCGAAGACCCTGTAATCCACCCTTTGCGTATGCCCCACAACTGAAACTGCTAGGAGGCTGCGAGGAGGCTCCTCTAGAAGGAATCTCCTTGGGCAAAAGATCGAAAATCTGAACAACATCTCGCTTAGTAATCCCTGACCCTCTGGCCAAAATGGCCTGCGCGAGGGCTTCAGCATCACTAGGGGCAGAGTCCGAAGTGGCCACGAGGTCAGGCCCCTGGGGCCTCGCATGGCCCCATCACTGTACCTGATTTGTGCATTCTGAAAAGGGGTGATCCCCAAAACATCGCCAACACTGGTGAAAGCCTCGCGGGCATCTTCCCTTCGTCACCTTGAGCTTGCATGTGCCCAAGTTAAACCCAAAACAATTCGGCCTGCCCTGATGATCTTTGGCCGCGCAGCCATCCGGAATGGTTACACGGGGTGCCTTGCCACCGCCCTTTTCACCGCCCTTGGTGGATGTCTTGCCCTTTCCGTCACCTTTGTTAGGCGTGGCAAGCTCCTTGAAAGGGCGCTTCGTTGGGTGAGGTGCAGGAGGAGCTACAAGCGGCTGAAGAAACTGAGTTATCTCCTGGCTACCCGATAGATCGCGCAAAGCTGCATCCATGGGTTTCTCAACACCTATGGGTTTCTGCAATTGTCCTTCAAGCATGTCGGCCAACCGGACAAAAAGCTCACGATCTGCCGTAACAACTTGCCCCAAGCTAACTGCCACATATCCCTTCGGCACAGTACGCTGAACTGCTTCGAAGAGCTTGTTGATCCAAGTTTCCATAGCTTCAAAGCTGCACAAGTGACCCAGATCAAATGCTAGTGACCGTCTCTGAAAAGCCTGCCGGAGAGGGTACATGCCTGTGGTGTCGCACGTCGGCTCCGGCTTCTTCTGAATCACCTTGAGGTTGCCCTCGTTGTCCATCTGAACGGCAGAATCCTTCTTCTGGAGAGACATCTCTTGGAAGCGGGATATCCATCTGTTGATCGGAATGTACTTGAGTGAATTATTCTCGTACGTCGTACATGTCAGTCACAAGGTCGATACAGCTATGGGCCGGTGTGGTATGAGAAGTTAGAATGAGACCCGACAGCCTACGATGCTGCGCCTCAACGCGCTCCTTTCTCTCGGCTTGGGGCAGGCGTCGCACTGAGCCTTCCGGCGTGCCTTCGACCCTAGATTTGAGGTCCGCCACATTGAGTGATTGCGACTCGAAAAGCAGCCTACGAATCACCGAGACCTGAAAGGAGCTGGGTGCCGGGGTGACTACGGTGGCTAGCCTCGCATCGACAGCTTCGTCTGTTAGGCCCTGCGGCGTCGCCGATGCGGCGAAAGCCAGTTTTCCAAATGTGTTGTATCCAGCATCAATCAAACGACTCAGAAGATCGTTGCTGAGGCCTATTTTACTGCATCTTTCACGGAATGATGCTTCACTGTCTAGTATGACAGAGGACATGGCTCAACCTGCAAGCTACTCGGGCTCGGCCGCTGACACAGAATCGAAGCTGAATGCTTCGGTCGCTGTCTGAGCCAACGGGCACCGGATCCGAGCTTCGACGTATAGCAATTCCACTGCAAAGCTGACCCTAACATCGTGATTTCAGCAACGTCACTTTGCGCATGTTCGCCAAAACTTCCGGCACCACGGGCCATAGGCCGGTGCATACTGTAGGGTTGTGTTTCACAGTCCTACATCAGATCTAGCCCGCAACATCTCCAAGAGATAAGGTCTGGGTTTTCGGTATGCCCCGGACTCGGAGAGCCGGCATCCGCAGTCTGTCACCTCGGGTCATAGACCGGTGCCATGTGTATTCTCCGGAGCCACGTTATACAGCCCCAACAGTTCACATCAAAGTCGAATGAACTTCACTCCTCAATGGGGAAGGCAAGTCCCACGGATCCGAAGGATCGGGACGTCTATTTTGCAATTGGCCATGCCACAAGCTCGCCACGGGCCAAAAGCCGGCGATGAATGGAACCGCAATGGTACATCCCACCAACGAGCTCGGCCGATTTTTCGTTCGAAAGTATCTGTTCAATCAGCGCCCGACATCGCCCGCCTGCACTGATGGCAGGTGTCCGGATCATCGGCATCGTCTTCCTCGAAGTCCCTGTATCTGTCTGTGAGGGGACGCCCACAAAAGAAAGTGCCCTCATCCCTAAGTCGATGAACAATGCCAGACAGGCTATGCACTCAGAGCTCCGCCACGGTGCATTCGAAGGGTGGCCTAAGCTCCCGGCCGGAACGCGGCATCGGCTCATACCCCACAAGGGACTCGGCAGACTCAGAAGACTCCACATCGGCGGCGCCCACATGCTGATCTTCAGGAGGAGCGCGAGCCTGTGAAGCAGTGAAGCCGTCGTGTCGCCGGTGAGCGCCGATGCCACTGCAGCTACTCTGTCCGTGACCTCGGCATCCGGATCGAATTGGTTCTGGCGGATGGTCCTGAACATGGCCAAGATTTTGCCCGACAAGTTGATGTAGAACTGTCGACTATAAATCAGGGTCGAAGAAGGGCCGCCCTTCCTGAGGTGATGTCCCATCAACAACCTCTCCTTTGGGGTAAAAGAAATTATAGGAGACCAGCCGCTCCACGTGATCAAGGTAGTCTTGAAGCTGTGGGTCCCTATCGACTCATTAGGTCCAGGGGCCATGTCCAATGAGGTTAGGATGTCGATCAAGATGTCACTGGCCTCCTCTGAGGACATTCGCTCCTGGCCCCAGCATCCCCACTTCTGCGACCAGGAAGGCAAACACCCTCGGTCAAACTGGATGCCTTCTCTCTCGCGTGCCTCCAACCAGAGCTGCGCCCACGGCGTGTTGCTCACCCCAGTTGAGACGCATACGTACGGGAGCAGGCGCGTTTTGGCCTCCACGGTGGTAGACGTCTTCGATCCAAGGGCCTCCGCAATTAGCAATTGGCCTTCTCCATCAGAGGTGAGAGTCAAAGACAGAACGTTCTGAGAATCGCTCCAACGACATGATGTGTGTATACAAAAGAGAAATTGCCCGATTACACATCGGGTCCAGTCAGAGCATCTCTCCATCAGAAGCTCCAATGCCTCCACTCGTCGACGACTGAGAGAGTCTCTCTGTCTCAGAGGAGCCTTCTTGAGCTTCAAGTCCTGTGCGACGCCACGCACCCTCGAAGACAAGATGGCTTCCAAGTCCATGTACTTGAAACGAGCAATGGCATGAAAGAACCTCAAGGCCTCCAGGATATGAGAAGCCGTAGAAGCTTTAGCACCATGCTCCCGGAATCCTGAAAAGATCGCGTAGACTTGAGCCTCGTTAAGTCGCCATGGTGAATCCAGCGAAGCATCATAGGACCTCACCACAAAAACCTGCAGCGATAGGGATCTCTTCTGTACAGTCAAGGACGCCTTTCCCCTGAAAGCGTCTGCCAGGCTCTGCATTATGACTTGGTCATCTTCCATAGCCTTTCCTTGATCAACCAGGCTGCTGCCTAAGGCTGTGGCCTCAGGGTCAATCAAGATCAGCATCTTGAACCTCCTCAAAGAAGAATCCCTTATGTCTGCATCCGATTTCGGCAGCCTCGCTTTGGCCAACCTTCTGGTCACCGTCCAAGGGATGTGGGCGAACACATCAGGCTCAGGACCCCTCTCCTTTGCCATAGACAAAGTTTCGCTCACCCCAACAGAAGTCGAAAGCCTCAAGAAAAATTCAGAGCACTGATCAAGGTGTGAAGGCTTTGAATCCCAGGGCTGACGTGGTAACTCAAACCTCCTTCTCTTGTGAACTGCTGCAGCCACCATTTGAGAAGCGTCCAGCTCAGCCATCGGTCCTTCAAGCCAAGACAGCTTATTGGATTGCGATCCTGGCAAATGTGGAGGAGCAGCAGAAGAGGAAACAGGTATCTCTTCTTCCACGCACTCAACACTTCCCAAGTCATTGTCTTGAACTTGAGAATACCACTCTCTCTCATCCGCAGAAAAATCCAAAATCTCGGCTTCAGCATAGGTTTCGCGTCCTTCCATACTCAAGAGGTCCGACTGCTGAACATCTGCCATGTCATCCCGAAGCAGACCCTCAAGGTGTTCTTCGAATGGGTCCCCGGCTGTGGCAGGACCATCCTGTATCAGCCCCCAAACATTGTAAGGAGCTTCTGCCGAATCACCCCCTTCCATCTCAGAAGCTTCGAATGGCATCTGATGGTTCATTGTCTAAGGCTGAGCGCAGAAGAAGCAGGCTCGAAGACGCCAGCTGACACGAAAAGTTTTAAAAGCTCAGCTCGAGCAATCACTTCGTCACAAACACAAATATTGTCAGTGATGCAAAGAAGCATGGGCATGCGACAATGATCTGTAAAGCATGCCAAATACTCTTCTTGAAAAACCACCCAAAAAGGGAGGCGGAAAGTTAAATCGCATAAAGTGATGTTGCCAAATGTCAAACACGGCCTGCGGCCTGTCGCCGATTTCAAAGAAAGAAAAGTCTGCAGGCAGAAAAGTTTCAACTACCCCAACGAGCTCAAGTGATTCAAAATCAAGCAAGCTAATTTGCCACAGCAAATTTTTACAAGTCAACAAATAATGTCGCATCCCCTTCTGTGTGATCGTTTGGGGAGTGTCGACTTATTTGCTGCCACGTAAATCGCTTGCAAATCTAAGCTCGTATATTTCATAATATGTTATCAGCAATATGATAACAAAAAGGTTCACTCATAAAATTCAAGATGATATATCTCGAAAAGAGGAAATATGAGAGATCGCACTTCGCACTCAGCCTCTTTTGCTTTCAATGGGGATGGTCCATCACTGCCGGCGGGAACCCCCATCAACACGCAGTGGAAGACACCTCCCACGAGAGTGACGAAGTGAGAATGCCCTCAAGGCCGCTGGTATCCAACCTGCTTGGTGCATCAGCGGGGTTACTATGCGTAGGCGTAGGTACTCTTGAGTACCAAGCCCTTATGAACAAACTTCGGACTTTTGCAAGTACTCTGAGCCTGAATGTTACGTCGATCGTACATGCTTCGCATGCTCTTCGAGAAAACTACACGAGTGGTCAAAAGCTACCAAAACTGTTCTAGCAAAATAAGAGTACAGGGCATAGGGGAAAATGTTGATCACCCCGCCCGGACATCCCCAGTGACTTAGACTGGAAGATGTTCGCATCAACATACAGCGTACGATACATCACAGTAGCGACCACTTCTCACTACAGGATACACGGCTCAATACGTCAGCGTAGCTACGATCTAAAGTCGTCTGTACACTACGCGCACTCCATCAAAGGCTCGGACAGCCGATGACGAAATGCAAGCTTGACTCACCCAAGCGCAGGCGTTCGAAGTTCAAGCGCTCCTGTCAAGAACCAAAACAATTCATGGCGGATCATGCATCATGCTTAACATTGATGCCCGGGATTATAGCGGCCTAGTGACCGCTGAAAGCTCATCACGAGACTTTCCTTCGGAGTCATGACCGCTCCACGGTCAACACAATTGTTGTTCGGACATAACCAGATTGACACCAAAATGGTGTGTATCGTGCACAGTCTTGCACGCTCCAAGACTCCAAGGATGGTTCACACATCAAGCTCAAGAATGATTCACAGGTGGTTTTCTGAAGCTATGTACAATCGTCGCTGGTCGTCAATGACACACACACAAAGGTAGTGCCACTGACTATGTACAGATGGCCAATGCATCAGCATCAAGAGCATTCAAGACACAAGTGTGTTGCGGCACGCATTCCAAGGATCATCACTTTTGTTTCTTGCTGCCACCAAAGCAACTTCCGCACGGCTTGTAACCGCGCTCACGGGCTGTGGCGATTCCAAGCTTCACGATCTCATCAGCATTGTTCAGACAAGTGCAATTCCTGCTTTTGTGGTACGACTTACCCCGTCTCAAAGTGCAATAAACATGCAACTCAGGCACATGCTGGATCACATCGTTGGAACCGCGTGCGGCATCGCCATCTATGCACGATTCGGCTCTGGTATTGGCAGCGTTCTCTCTCTTGTTCGATCTTTCGCCTCGTGGTATTCTCCCCAAGCGATACGGTCGTAGTTCATTTCAGCGATCAATCTGCTCAAGCGCTCGTTCTCCTGCTCAGCGGCATGCAGTGCGGCTCGCACCCGTCGCAGGCACATCATGATTGCCAGGCAGAACGCTGAAAGGCTGCAGGTGAAAGTCAATGGAACCCAATTCCACCAACCGTCGGTTCCCTGCTCGTACACTTCTTCGGTGGAGGTGCTGGCATTGCTCACGTTCAAGGTGATGTCATCTTCATTGCCCTCTGTGGTCCATAGCCGCCCAAGGCTCAAAGATTTCAAGGCAAGAAGGATAGCACATGCGCAAATCACCAAGACGGCCAGCGACTGTGGCCACCGTGCATCATCATCGGTCTGCACACCGACCTCACGCCTGGTACCACTGCTCTCGGCACCTTGCACAAGCGACAGCATCATCACCATCATTGCAGTGCTGAAGCTCTGCATCCCGTTGCTCTTCAGCGTCTTACACACAAGTCTGCGAACCCTCTGTGTTTCACGCTCACGCTGCAACTGCTCCAACAACGCATCATGCTCTGCACGGCCTACCTCCTCTATGCAGTCACCCGCACAGCACACAAAGTCATGCATGCACAGCAAAGCACGGAGGCGGGATCCTGAGCACGGTACCTTGGTTCCCAGATCCGATGGGTTCCTCCTCCCATCGACCGGCTGCACACGAAGTGTGCGATCAGCTGTCTTCTCCTGTATCCAGAGAAAGCGTCCACTCAAGTGCCGAATCTTCGATACACCTTGCTTCATCGAAATCTGGCGGCAGCTCTGGTTGTCTGCGCGCATGCACAGCTCGACGCTGACCTCAAGAAGAAACTGAAGGATACGTTGCAAGAATATCCCATCACACGATGCAGAAACGAGTGCATAGAACTCACTCTCGGTGCTGCTCAGGCTCACACAACGCTGCGATCTGCAAGACGTGTAAATGCAGCAGCCATTCAGGAAGAACGATGAGCTGCTCATTGAGCGACGGGTCTGCTTGTTGCCGCTCCAGTCGGCATCGCAGAAAACCTCAAGCAGAGCACTATCAAGAGACTCCTCGGCATCAGGTGGCTCAAGAATGCTTGCTCGATCGCCCTTGGCATGCACTTTGCTTGCGTAGCCGGCTGTTCCAACAAGATACCCTGCAAGGCGTTGCGCAAACTGCCAGCCGCGCTCGGTCGGTGCTTTAAGCTTCTGGGCCAACACCCTCACCGTGAAAGCAATGTCACTGCGATCCTGTGACACATACATGCCTATCCCAACGGCGCTGCGGTACTTGGCTGCTCGAGCAGAGTCCAGCTCCTTGCTTGCATCCGGCATGAGAAGCTCCTTGGTGCATGGCGTAGGGAACTTCCGATGCAACGGCACACCAAGAAGGTTTGCCATATTCACAGCATGATCCGCAAGCGGCTTTATCAAGATCCCATCATCAAGAATTATGTGCTCTCTTTTAAGAAACTTGAAGCTGTCCCCAGGCATGCAGGCTACCTCGTAGGACACTTCAAAGGTTTTCTCAAAGCTTGGGACTAGCTCTTTAAGAAGCCACTGGACAAACCCAACAAGGCACAAGTCATTTACATGTATCAACCCGGGGTTTACACGGCCCTTGGGATCAACGATCTTATACACCGATGGGCACTCAGCACAGCTTGTGAGCTTGTGCTCCTCACGGATGTAGTTCATGATGAATTGATGCCATCGGGCTGTCCCGTCCCGCTGTCCAGGGAGCATCTTGAGAAACCGCATTCGGCTTGCAAATCCAGGGATCTTGGCCAGCATGGGACGCTCCTGAGGGACGTTGAGAAAAGCGTCACGCACATCAAGCGCGATCACTCCTATGCGGTCGGTCTCATCAGGAGACTCTCTGGCTTGCCGGCTGAGCTCGCAATACAGCCACGGCAAAAGCTTGGTGGTGATGGCTGACGTTGCTGGTGCATAAAGATCCTCTCTGCCCCGCTCCAGCCACCGGTACTCGCGAGCTACCAGCCTGGACCGTCTAAAGTACATCATCTTGTCTTTGTGCAGTTTCTTGCGCCATGTCCTCACGAACTTCGAAGACAATTCCTTGTGGTCCGACGTGTCCACTTCATCCCCGATCTCCTCAAGGACGCCTTTGCGAAGCAGGCGCTGCACCTCGAAAGAATCAGCGATTCGATCAAGCTCCTCTTGCTGTTGCTCGGACAAATCAGGGATCGAATCATACCAAAGACACTCCTCGTTGTCAAGGGCATGGCTGTCCTCAGTGTTGGTCACATCCCACTCAGCTGCAGCCTCATCTGACAACTCAAGATACTTTTCAGCATCCTCCCACTCAGGGGCTGATTCAAGAACCTCATCATTGATGGGAAGCTCCTCAGCGCCAACCCTGGCGATGCGCTGGTACTTGGATGCCTGCCCGCTGGGCTGCAAATCGATAGCATCTTGCGCCCGCTTTGCAACATCGATGAGAAGATCATCATCTGTCATCGGTATCACCGGCGTTCCGCCTTCAGGAGACGGCGGATCAGAAGCAGCAACTTCCATTGGTGACTCAAGCGGCGCTGGGGCTGTAGCAGGCTCAACAACACTTGTCGGAGCACGATCAGACCTGTCAAGAAGAAGCGTGGCTCTCGAAGAAGGCGCTGGGGTCCCCGCCGCAACGCTTGGCGGTTGCACTGACTCAGCTGGCACAGGTGCAGGAGGGATCCCCGCCATGGCCGGCATGTCTGGCATTCTTGGCACCTCAACCTGAACCTCACCTTGGGGAGCATCGGGCTCACCCTTGTCAGCTGGCTTCGGCACGCGATGCCTAGCCTGCGGAACGACCTTTGTGCCAAGCAAACCAAGCTGATAATCCCAAGGAAATCCTTTGGCATCAATCGCCAGACTCTGCTCAGACTCCCACGGCTTGTCATTTCGCCTGATTGACTTGGTGAGCCACACTCCCGCAGAGTTGCACAAAACATACATGTCATTTAAAATTCTTTCATTGTTGTTTCTGAGCAGTTCTAGCACTCACAGGCGAAGGCACAAGTACACAGCAACTGTGAACACACTGAACATGCTGGCGCGACACTCTTTTTCTCTGGTGACTTTGGGAATCCACGATCCTCGTCGGTCGAACACCACCATACGGCAGTGACTAACCTAGTGCACTAGGGATGGCAGGACAGGCTAACCCCATCCGCAACGGCCTACGGTGCATCAGCATAGCGGCTGATCTCAAGAAGAGTGGCACTTCAAGAGTTTGTGTCATTAACAAGGCTGGCAACGTGCAAGCTGCAAAGCCCAGGGCCCCAGCAGGAAGCTGAGCTCAAGAGCGGCACGAGAGCCGAAATCTGTTTGCGAATGTGCCCAAGTTGGGTGGGCGGGCGGGAAAATTTTTATTTCCAACGAAAGCGGTATTTCACAAAAGGGAGAATCCAATCAAATATAATTCCAATATAATAAAAGTCGTGGCTCAAGCACTCGGTCAAACCCTCTCTCTTTTCACGCAAGCGGGGTATGTTCTGGTGAGAGTCACATGCATGGTGAAGTAGAAAGGGTGCACACACCCATCACACCGCATACACCATGTGCCACTGCACATAGATGAACGGCAATCCGTCATCTCTCACCCCACCCCCCCACAGGGCGGGCGGGCGGGACAAAAATTGTTCTCACGGCGGCTGCACACAGCCCAAATGCTACAGAGAACAAGGAATCGCAACAAAAAGGACATGTCGCACAAAAATGGTGCAATCACCAAACATGCACACATAAATCAGCCATGGAAAATACCGCAGCACTGCAAATCAGAAAATCGTTTGGGAAATAAAATGCTGTCTCGCAAGCGAGAAGGCTTATTTATTTCCAACGAAAGCGGTATTTCACAAAAGGGAGAATCCAATCAAATATAATTCCAATATAATAAAAGTCGTGGCTCAAGCACTCGGTCAAACCCTCTCTCTTTTCACGCAAGCGGGGTATGTTCTGGTGAGAGTCACATGCATGGTGAAGTAGAAAGGGTGCACACACCCATCACACCGCATACACCATGTGCCACTGCACATAGATGAACGGCAATCCGTCATCTCTCACCCCACCCCACTTCAAGAGAGATGTTAGGAAAGAGTTATAACTTGTTGCACAACATCCTGGTATATGGCATTGACTGAAGACGCATCAGCGACACGGTCCTGAGGAAGCATCTCACAAGCAATGTTGCGACTCGGTGCATCCGCAATATTGCTGCACGATGGTACACGCGCACACCAAGGAAGCAAGGTACCCTGCTCACAGGTTCTGGCAAAGATATGGCAAATGCGGGTGACAGCCCACGAAGCAGAGTAGCCCTTTATCAGAGCAAAGCGGGCCCCCTCGTTGTCAAGATATGCCATGCACTCTGAAGACGCAAGGTGCTGGTTCCAAAGCACGAAGGCTACAACCACTGCAACGGTTTCCAACTCGCCGATACCCGTGATGGCATCCACTGGAAGCAAAGGGCGAATGTCGCTCTCGCACAAGGGCAAACCGAACCAGCTTACGACAGAACCCAAAGGAGAGATTAGGACACCCCCTAGACCCCCAGTGAAATCAGGCTCAAAGCTCGCATCGGTGAATACATACCAAGGCTGCCCCAAGGATTTTGTAATGCGCCTCGGCGACCCGTGCAATACACGATCCAGCAGAAAGCCGAGAGCATCCCGAGCGGGGCCGGATAGCTTGGGAACGAAAGGCCAGGCGTGAACATGGGAGCTGATGTGCTTAAGAGCGTAGTGCCCCGCTTTCCCCATGACCTGAGCGTTCGCAAAGGATAGCTTGCCTCTCAGCTCAAGACCTTCCTTATAAGACAACACACCTTCATCAAAAATGCGGGTCACCAATGCACGAATGTCGCCTTTGCGTTTGTCCGTGTTGTCGACAGTGACCACGCAGTCACCTGTGTTCCCCAAGTCAAAGCGAAGCCCCAGCGCAGACACTTGTCTGGAGAACACATCAGCTTTGGGTCCCTCCTCGTCGAAGACCCAGCCAAGGAGTTGGAACAGCAGCTCCATGGTCGCACCCGTGTTGTCAGCAAGGCAATCAGGCGAGGCGACGATGAAGTCATCGTAGTAAGAGGTGGTGGGCACAAGCAGGCAACGATTGGCAAGCCATTGGATGCACCTGGAACATCTAATGAAGCCATTCACTGAGGCCCTCGATCCGAAGGGGAGGCAGACCTGAGTAAAGAGCATGGTCTTTTGCTTGTGTGGGTCATACACAGCAATGACCGCAAAGCAACGCGAGCTCAAGGCGACACACAACTGGCGGTAGGCCGCCGTCAGGTCGAAGGCACGACCCTTGATCCATGAAGGTTTCTTCGCATCACGAAGCTTCGTGCACAACCTTACAAACATAGCTGCTGCCACATCTGCAGTGTCGACGGTGGGCTGTTCCAAAGTCGTCACACAAGAGTTAACACCACTCCTGCTGTAATCATCAATGGGACGCAGCTTCCCACCCTGCAACAAAGGAAATCTGTGGGACACAACATGCCCCTGCGGCAAAGAGTCCCAATCGTAAGGACCCAGGAGCCAGCCTGAGTCTACCTCCTTCATTGTCTTTTCCCACAACAAGATGTCCTTCTCCCGATCACCGGAAGATCCCAAGGAGACCTTGAGAGCCTCGTTGGCTCGAGGGGCCGTCGCACACAGGTCATCAGGGTGCAAGGAGGCTGGAGTAACCTTACCCGGCAGGACATTAGAAACAGGCGACGTGCCCACTAAGTCAAAGCCAGACCAAATATCCCGAGCAAGGTTTACATCGTCATAGCCCTCGGCTGCGATGATTTCGTCAAGCAGCTGCAGCCGCTTCTTACACAGAACACGTCTCATGTGCGGGTCGTCTATGTCCCAAGAAGGGTCTGGGTCACGTTCAATCTCACACGCACGCGAGGTCCACTTGTCGAGCCATCTCCTCCTCTTATCAACCACGGCATGCGGCGGAGCCTTCGCGAGCATATCCACACACGACTCAAGATGATCCGGCAATGAAGAAAGTGAAGAGCTGGGATGGCCTGCCCTCACAGCAGCACGCACGAACTCACTTTCACTGAAAGGAACTCCAAAGGTTGCATGCGGAGTCGGCTGCGCAGGCCCGACCACAGGTGCAGTTTCCCCACTCTTGCACGGCTGATCAGGAGGGCGTGCCGGCACCGCACAGGCGTCCAGAGACGGTTGCACGGGACCGACCACCGGCACAGTTCCCCCAATCTTGCACTGGCGATCCTGAGGGCACATCGCTGTCGCACAAGTGACCGGCATAGGGTGGCCAGGCAACGGAAAGCCCAAGTCCTGTAGGACTTGCACATCCTCTTTCTTTAGAGAAGCAACACGATTCGGAGTGAATCCGATCAACACGACTCTGGAGCCTTCCCAAGGTAAAGTGCAGTGGAAGCGATGTGCATCGAACTCCACGGGGCCGTCGGCCACTTGCAGGACACGACCAGAAGTCTTTCCAAGGGGTGTGGTTCGCACATGCTGACCCTCCTCATCCTGTATCCAGATGCCCCCTTTTGCAAAGTCAGTCAAGGCCAACACATAGTTGGAACTCCCATCCAAGTTATTGGCATCCCTATGCATCGGAGTGCACACATTGGAGTATATCGCCACTGTGGCGAACGTGGCATGCGGAAAGCGGGCACGCAGAAGCCTTACAGCTAATCGAACAGCGTTCGGAAACAGTTTGGTGTTCCTGCGCAGACCACACAAAGTGCCCTGGGAGTAGGCACCGGCAGACCAGGCCTTCTCACGCGCGTCACTGACACCCCTGGCCGGGACCTCGGGGGGTAACGTGTCAAAAACCTGCAACAGCTGCGCTTGCGTAGGAACGTCACACACGTCCGCCGCCAACACTTCGGCTTCGCTTGACACAGTCAACACTGCAGCACTGCTACAAGGATCGGAAAAAGCTAAACCAGAAGGAGAAGGCGAACCATCCACTAAACCCGAAGGGGAAGGAGGAACCGGCGGGGAAACCCTAGAGGAGGATGTCGCCATCGTGCCATCGGCCATTGCTGCAGCAGGAGAATCCCCGCCAGTGGCACACAATGTCTCGGAAGATTTGTCACCGCTGACTGGCACACTCGCCCCCTTTGAAGACACAGCAGCGGTGAGTGAGAGGGTTGGGAGCAGCTGAGCTCCAGCAGGCACGACCACATCGTGCACCCGCAGCGGCTGAGGAAGCCGGCGCTTGTTGTCCAAGGTCGGCAGCGCACTCAAGGGTACGCGAACGAAGTACTTGAACTCCGGAACCGGCGCAAGTAGAGGCTTGCGAGGCTGCTTACCAGTGCCAACCTGGGCTGCAAACAAAGGTGGCAGGCCTGAAGCATCGACATCAAGGTGCTTGATCATGACTAAAGCCAAAGCCCTGTACATGCGTCCCATAGCTGCATCCAAACTGGCTTTGGCCAGAGGCAACTGCAACACAGGCGGTGTAATGTCAGCCAAAGCGTGAGGGCAAGAAGATGCAAACAATATGTGACCGCGAACCCCTGGGGCGAAGCGGCCCAAGTCGACATCAACTGCAGAAGAAGAAACCTGAAGACCCAGCGAAGTCTTCCAGAAGGGCGAGCGGGATGGGGCCTCGATGGTCCACATGGTATCCGTATCAGCACAGTGCTTGATGAGCTGAGCAAAATTGTAAGTGCACCGTTCCACTTCACGCTGGATATCACTTGAATTCGAGAGCTTGTTAGAAAAGACGGAGGCAGGGCAGCGGATGTGAACCCAAGCACATGTGGGCTCACGAACCCACGATGCGCACAATGCAAAGCCTCCGGGGGACAAAATGTCAATGGGAACTACAGGCGCCGCAGAAGCTTGAGAGCACCCTCTGCCAATCGCAAAAGAGTTTGGTAACACCTTTCGGAGACAACCACACAAGCTGGCACGCCTAGCAAAAATTTCAATGCAGAAGATTCTATCACTCACACGTGGAGCAAGGTCCTTACCTGGCTTCGCAAAGTGCACGGACGACCCCTGACACTCGGGCACTGCACACGCAATCACATCGCCCGTGCACGTCCCCTGTCACTCAGTGCTCGCCGAGGAGTCATGCTCGCTCATCGGATGCGGCTTGTAACACCCTGGCTTGCAGCACACATGCTTGAACTTGCATTTCGCTCCGGCCTTGCACTTGCCCAAGTTGAAGTTGAAACAGATCGGTTTGTTATCTGGCGTTCTCGAGTGCATTCCCTTAAGGACCTCGGGAATCGGGTCGCGAGTGATCTTGGCCTTCTTGTTCGGGCTCTCATCGTCATTCGTGGTCTTAGTGCGCTTACGACCCTTCCCCTCCTTATCAGCCTTGCCCCCGCCCTTGCCACGGCCCTTCACAGGCAACAAGAAGTACATCACAGTTGTGTTAAACTCAAGCTTCTCAAACTCCTTGTCGAGGGGGAGGGATCCGTCAGGACCTGGTTTCAAGTTGCCATTGCACACACGAGCAAGCTCCAAGAAGCACTGCCGGTCGGCTCGTAGCACTTGCGCGCGTGAAACGCGCTGGAATTCGGGAGGCGGGTCTTGGCTCATGATGCGGAAGAGGCGTTCATTCCATTTTTGCACACATGCATAGGATGCAAGACCCACTAAGTCCATGGCTAAGGCACGCCTCATCATCGCCTGGTAAAGGGCCAAGTCGCTGTCAAGCGTGATTGCAGCTGTCGCCTCCTCGTCCTTGACAATCAACCCAGTCTTATTTGCATCCAAATGCAAGGCCTTGGGAGGCTTCTCAGAACAAAGCTCCGCGTCCCGAGTGATGCATTCATTGGGTGCCAGATACTTCAACTCATCATTCTCGCGCATGGTTGCTAATCTGTCATACACACAATGTGCCACAGCAAGCGGGCCCTCCAATGGCAAACCGGCGAGACGCCGCTTCTGAGCTTCAATGCGCATGGAGCGCTCTGATGCGGGCAATTTCCGCGGCACTTCATCTGTGGATTGCATGGACGATCTCAGTTCAGCCACTGTCATTGTTTGAGCTTCGAAGATAAGCTGCTTCAAAGCCGAGCTATCTCCTAAGGTGATGCTGGCCCCCGGCCGGAGGGCTAAGACGAAGGCATCCATGTCATCACTCGAAGGCTGATTCCCCGGAAGCGTAACAGCATAACTAAGCTTCCCTAGGGTCGTGATTCCTGAAGCTTTCAAGGCATCGACCCACGGAGCTGTTAAGCCCGCTCGCTCACACTGCCTGTCAAGGGCGGCTGTAGAGGTCAAGAGCGACAGTGCGGCCATGCTAACTAAGAAGCCCAGGCTTAGCGACCTATAACAAAGCACACCTGGCAACAGCAGAACACATGCAAGTCAGGAACAATCCAGCAGGAGAATACCGTTCCAACTCAAACATGAAAGCATGTGATGTTGCTTGCCTGATCAGTGTTGCCTCAGCCAAAGCGCACTCGCGTGATAACATGAAATCGCTACCAAGGGCATTCCCTGGGATGCGCACTCGCAATCACAAGATGACATCTACTGCATTCAGAACATGAGCACTCTCCACATGCACACCAATGCTGCACGCAGCAGAAGGCACTCCGACTCCACACTGAAAACTTTTACGCGCCGTCATTGCGGTTCATAAGCTCATCAAGCCGCTCATTGAGCGCTTGTGTGGAATCCAGCAGCTCGCCTTTCCAACAAACTGCACACCTGGGCCACTTGAAGTAGGACCCATCAAGCCACCTGTACACATTGGCAGTGCGCCTCCCGCACTTCGTCTTACAAGACGTCTGCGCTCCTTGAGGGCGATGCAGCATCTTCGACTTGATGTGTTGCCAGCACGGCTCCTTGATCTCATACGGCTGGCATACTCCACTCGCTGTGATGGTCTGCTCCTCCGTCTCACTGGCATCGGAAGAGCAGGAGCTCGATGATGAATCGGATGAACTGGCACCACCGCTCTCCAGCTCCGTGTCCCGTACACCGTCCGCGAACAACTCAGGGAAAAGCACTTCACTCCCAGATCCAGGTTCCTGATCTCCCTCATTGTTTAGCGGCTGCTCCACACGATGCCAGGAGCCATCATCACGATCACGACCGCTTGCCTGTGAGGCTTCGGGCGACTCTGAAGGCACATTGTTCGCATAATAATGCTCAAGCTCTCCTGGCTCCTCTGCTGGATGCTCCATCTCACCTGGATCTTGCTGTGGCAGGGCCCCCAGGCCGAAAGCACCGCCTGAACTCCCAAGTTGAACACTTGCAAAATCCCCAAACGTGGGCAGCAGAGGTTCCTTTGTGAGCCAGCCCGAGCGGGTCTTATCTGGCCTGAAGACGTTCGACCGAATTTCCGCAAGCATAGCCCTGTACGCGCGCAGAGGCGCGCTCAGCAACTCTCGGCTGTAGCATGCCAACGAGCCTGAGCCCGGAGCATGGTGACCAAGAAGTAAGCCATCCCGCTCACCAAAGCCGCGCTTGCCGACCCAAGCCAGTGTCGTACCCTTCAAGACATGCGATGTACGCCGCTGATCCCCGTCCAGATCCAGGGCATTGCACAACATGTGACCGGCTTCGCTTGAAGTGCACCGTCTCTTGCACAGCTGCCCTTCGGCGTCTGGGGCACGAACCAGAGGCCCAAAGGGATCTGCGTCCCACTGCACACCAAGACGAAGACCAGCACTCATCCAAGCTCCCACCCAGTTGGCATCAGTAACCCCAGGAAATGGAGCTACCAGAGGCATCGCACGCCGCTTGGTCTTTGACGTGTTGCTGGTCTTGTGGTCACGAGTCCTGGCTTCTACAAAGCCAGACAACTGGTCCTCGCCCTCGAAGTCTACCCATATGCACTGCAGATTCCTAAGATCGGACCACCTCGATCGACTGTACAGGCAGAAGACAAGCCCGCCCAGCACATAAGTGTCTGCATCACACAAAGTGAGGCTGGCGACAAGCTTCTCTAGCTTGGCAACACACTCCACACTGAGGGGAACCTGCTGCTTCACCTCTGCCCGCTCGCCCTCGAGTCTCTTAGCACGGCCCTGCAACCTGCGGTCCTCAAGAATTTCTTTGCAAAACGGCATGCCCATAACATGATGTGCAAAGTTCATGGCTTCGAAGAGACCTGTCACTGCACTTGCCGACGCGCCCAGAGACTTGACGAAGTCTGTAAACGATTCGCAGTCCCAAGGCCAAGCAGCCCTCCTTTCTCTAAGATGCCACCTTAAGCACCTAAGCAAAGAGTTGGCGCGCTTAATGGCAGTCCTAGGGGATTTAATGCCAAAGACATCCCGGATCAACTCGTCCCTGGCCGATTCACCTTCTGCAATTAAGCATTGAGCAGCCTGCTCGCCAACCTGTCCAGGGTCGCTTTGCGCTAAGCTGAAGATGCAACACCACTTGTTAATCGCTAAGACCCAAAGGTGATCGTCCTCAGCTTGGGTAGAGATATCAGCCCGAGCAGAGAAGGATTTCTCGAACAGTGTGCACGGGGCAGGCCTGACACGAATGCACGGCACGTCATCAAGGGCTGGGGTATCAGAGTCCTCTATTGCAGGAGGGCAAGGTTGCCTCAGGACGGGATGCTCTAAAACCCCATTGCCAAAAATGCACGACATAATCCCAGACTCCCAGGGAAGCCTGGGCAGAGTATCCACGATGCCACTGGTGCGTGCATGCAAGATCAAGCGGTCGATGTCTGCATCATCAATAGCACGGTCATGTGACATGAAGAGAGGCTAGGCAAACACACCCCCTTGGAAGCTAGCCAAGAAGGAGCACATGCGAAATGAAAGTCCTGAGCAAAGCACAATGCACGGCCAAAGTGCAGGCTGATTAGAGCAGGCCTGCTCTAGCAAGCCAGATCCATCCGCTGGTCACGCGAGACCAGCTTGCACACCCTCTAGGAGGGAACGTCGAAAGAGGGCCCGGTTAAAGCAGGAGCAGTTAGGGACTCGGGCCCAAGTTGAACAAAAATTGTTCTCACGGCGGCTGCACACAGCCCAAATGCTACAGAGAACAAGGAATCGCAACAAAAAGGACATGTCGCACAAAAATGGTGCAATCACCAAACATGCACACATAAATCAGCCATGGAAAATACCGCAGCACTGCAAATCAGAAAATCGTTTGGGAAATAAAATGCTGTCTCGCAAGCGAGAAGGCTTATTTCTTTTGAGCCACTGTGGCTCACACTGCACGGAGATGTATTCTGCTGCACCAAGTCTCATCAGAAACGAAACTCCCCCGAGTTTCTCAAATCAAGAATTTTAAAACGCTATCAACAAGTTGACCGCCAGCTTAAAATTCTTTCATTGTTGTTTCTGAGCAGTTCTAGCACTCACAGGCGAAGGCACAAGTACACAGCAACTGTGAACACACTGCACATGCTGGCGCGACACTCTTTTTCTCTGGTGACTTTGGGAATCCACGATCCTCGTCGGTCGAACACCACCATACGGCAGTGACTAACCTAGTGCACTAGGGATGGCAGGACAGGCTAACCCCAACTTAACCGCTAAGCGAGGATTTCACTAAGGGCACTCTCCACATCCGAAGACCTAATCTTCCTGCTGCCAACACGAAGTGTGTCCACCTTTTCGCGAGAAAGGAGGTCAGCAGGGTTCGATGGGCTTGGTACCCTCGCCACCCACACGTTAGCACTGATCATGTCTTCAATTGTAAGGAATAGTGCGGCTTGAGTTTTTGCGAATAAGTTCCGCCCCCGACCCGAAATGCACAGGTCTCTCACACTATTGTTATCAACGTAAGCGACAAGAGGTCTTCCCGTCATTGCATCTTTCCAAGCTACCAGTGCGACTACATATGCCAAAAGTTCTGCTTCGAAAATGATGGTCTTCTTGTCATCAAGTCCTAGTTTCTGCATAAGTGTAACACTCAAGAAACATGAAAAGAATCGCAATGCCTTACCTTCGCAGTCATACAAGATTCCTCCTATGCCGCAACACGGTTTGTTCTCTGTCCTGTCGAATGCCGCATCGGTGAAGAGATACACTGGTTTCTGGCAAGGCCTTGCCAGGATTCGTGGCTTGCACACTTCAAGAATGTTGGCATACATCAGCATGGCATCTTTGCAGGCCGGGCCGATTTCATCTCGGCCACTAACGATATGTTCGGTGACAGCCTGTAAACACAAGCGACTCGCCCGACCGAAAATCTGGTTGTCCGCGAACTGCATGCGACCCCTGAGCTTCTGCGCCGCACTGATTGACATAACTCCCTGGCCTGCTGTTTTTCTCAAGATTTCCTGCAACTCACTTTTCCGGGTCGATGTGTTGTCCACCTCGACTCTTCCGCTGCAGTAAGGTCGCAAGTCGAAGACAACCCCTAGGCAAGAAAACGTTTTTCCAAACTTTTCCGCTTTGCTACCATCCTCGGCGAACCGCCAGCCTAACAACCTAAAAAGTCGCGGCACAAACTCTTCCAGGGCTTGGACGTCGTCATCGGGACAGATGATCGGAAAGTCATCGTAATAATTTGCCCATAAGAAGCCAAGTGCACAGCCTACATACCAGATGCTATGAGATACTCTTAGGAAAGAGTAGACGGAGCGTGCGGCCCCGAAGGGCAATGCCAGCGTCTGGTATATCACCGGGTCACCCGACTCGGGGTCGGGGAAGGTAACGAACGAGGCATCAAGGGCGCCCTCACTCAATCCAAGCTGCCCGTATGCCGCCTTCAAGTCATAGCATCTGCCGCTCATGGGTCTTCGGGGCATGCACTCTTGGCACTTCATGCACAACGCTGACACGACCTCTACTCCATGTGGCTTCGGCGACTCGGACGTCTGCACTGCATCGTTCACGGTGCTAGCACTAAGATCGTCCACCAACCTGACCTTTCTGCTGTCTCCTACACCTTGCTCAAGGCCAAACCTTTTACTGACCAAAGAACTATGCTTAAGTTGATCTTTCCCAACGGGACCCCTAAGCCAACCCTCTGCGACTTCCTTCATCGATTTGTCCTGGACCTCCTTATCTAGGTGGCCCTGCGATTTCAGGTTGCCGAGCACCTTCTCGCGGCTCGCCACAGCCCTCGCCTTGACCTGCTCAGGAGTAGCGACTGCGGGCTTGAACGACTGGTCAAACACTCCTGTCAGCGGCACCTGACCCAGAAGTTCAGTGCCACGCGCTACTTCCTCCACTACACCTAAGTCCTCATACCCAAGGGATTCAAGCACTTCCCGCCACACCAGTAGACCTTTACCGCCTAAGATATTTTTCAAGTGCTCCGGCAAATGACTTTTCAACTCTTCCTCTTGGGGGCGTAACTCTTCCGCCCTGCGCTCCCACTTCCTGAACCATTCTTCCCGGAAAGCCTTCAGTTCCTCTTTGCTGTGCGACTTGTTCAACTCCACAGCTTTTTCAAGGGGTTGCGGGAGATTGACGGGCACCAGTTTTGGATGCCCTGACTTGACGGCCTCACGCACGAATGCTTCGGGCTTGAAGGGAATGCCCCAGGCTACTTCACAACGGTTCCGCAATTCATCAGCCTGCTCTTTCCCCTTATTGGCCGTGAGGGGGGAGACCCGCAGAAGCTGAGCCTCGGCAGGGATAACACGCAAAGTGCAGGAACATTCCAAGGGAACAGTCCATGGCGTTTTGATGCGTTGCATGGCCTCACAGGGCAGGGAGACTGACGACGGTCCGGTCATGACGACAACCTGCGCATGTTCGGGGACTAAAGGAGGAAATCGTGAGGCTTTGGGCGGGTTCCCGATCACAGCCTGGCAGGCTGTTTGCAAGGAGTGGGGTTGTTGCAAGCGCGTTTCCGGGTTCCAACCAAGACTGCAAGCATGGCGTGCGAGTGCGTGGGCAATGGGAGCAGCTAGCTTGGGCGGGTAGGCGGTCTCCTGATCAGCTGCATGTTGCGCCGCACAGGCTTTACCTGGGCAGTCTTTTGCCAAGGATGCAAAGCACGGTGACGTGCTGACAATGGTAGTTCGCTTTGGCTGGGAGCTACCGAAAGCACATTGGTCAAAGCTGACAGAGTGTGCACAAAGATGCTGAACGCGACGGAAGGCAGATGTGTCCCAGTAGGAACTGCGCTGAGGGTTTTCAATGGCGCAGAGCACACGTCGGCGCTGACACTCCTCAACAACATCACTCAGGAATTGGTACAAAGCGTCATGCGAGGATGCATCACAGGGTGGTGAAGCGAAAACGGCCACCAGCAGAGGGCTCTGCAGCCAGAAGCGACAGAGCTCACGACCTTCGGGTGTCAAGAGGTCGGCTAGAAGTGGCAAGGCGGCAGCCTGAGATTGCACACAGTGGTCCACTGCATGCGCAGCGGTTACGCCAAGCTTCCTAAGGCAGGCCGTGACACGCCCCGTGCCTGAGAACAGCTCGAAGATTACGGGGCATGTGGGGATTAAACCAGATTCGAGGCTAGGCTGAGGGGGAGGTTTTAGGGTATGACAAATAAAATCCCCCGTGGCTAACTGCGGTATCTGGAAGCCGAGACTTGTCAGCTCAGCACGCAAGGCCTGACCGAAAGCATCGTATCCTTTGACAGTGAAGCCTGCAAGAACAACTCGGTGACCCGTCCATGGGCAGGTAGCATGTTTTGCATGAGCATCGAAAAACGCACAAGTGCGTGAGACTGGAAGCAGCTCACCGCAGCCGGGATAGGCTGGATCAGGGCAGACCTGAGAACCTGAGGACGATTCGACCCAGAGCTCTCCATGATCAAAGCCAGTCAAACCGATTAGAAAATTGTCTACACCGCTGCATTGTTCCGATCGGCATGCAGGGGCGCTTGCACATCTGCGAAGAGCATGAGACTAGTAAAAGGGTGATCCTGCACCCACTGCTTGGCATATGCAGCCAGCATCTGGGTCACAAGGGGAAAAGACCGCATATTGGTGCGTAAAGCGTGGACTCCACCATGCACAGTCGCACCTGTGCCCCAGACGAAGCCGTCCGGGGGATAGCCTGGGCGATTCTGAGGATCAGAATCTAACAAAGTGGTGAGCTTCACCACTTGGTCTGCAGTAATTGAAGATTGTGCCAAACAAACCTCAGCAAATGCTTCTGCCGGATGTGTGTTGTTGGCCTGATGAAGAGTATTAAGCACGACGTCTCCTGTGCAGGTACTGGCACAGTCATTGACAGCTGACGGCGGGTGATTTTGCTCTGGAGGTTGTCACTGCGGGCATTTGGTGATCGGGTGATCACCCTCACACTTGGCACATACATGCTCTCTTGTGCAAGCACTGCCGAGCTTACAACCTTCCAAGTTAAAACCATAACACACTTGCAAACCTTTGGATGTATAGGCCTTACCACCGGCATCCTTGATTCGCTTGGGAATTGCCACATTGTGCTGCTGGGGAGGCGGCGCGACGCCAGTGCCTTTGCCTTTGCCCCCCTTGCCTTTGCCATTGCCTTTCCACGTCTTGCCTTTACCCGTGTACGGGACCCGCGGCGGGCTGTAGTCCCGCTTGCGCTTGTTACCGACCGGTAACGGCAGCAGCAATGCAGAGACCTGGTATGAATCCAATGCATCATGCAAGTGTGTGTCCATGTCGCGCGTCCCATCAGTTTGCTGGCGGGGTCGAGTACCCCGCTCGACCATATGCACCCACACCATCTTGTCCGCATCCTGTAGCTGTGTGAGGCTGACTCGACTGTGACCATAGGCACTTAGGGATACGCAACGGGCCATGTTGTATGCATACCCTCGCCTCTTCAGGGCTTCAAGAAAAGCCAACGCTCCGCGGGCGGGCTGCTCAGGAGTGTCGGTCACTTCCTTGACATTGATTTTGCCTGATTCCACTTCAAGCACTTTACTCGGCTGCCGGTGGTTCAGCACCTCATGCTGTCTACTCACGCATTTTTCAACTGGAATATGCCTTAGGACATTCTCTCGTTCCTGTGCACTAGTGAGCTCCAACAGGCTGTGGCCTGGCTCCGTCGTTGGGTCAAGAAAAAGTCCGGGATTGGCATCTTTAAAAAGCTTTACTCGCTGATCACGCTCGGCTTCCGGAAGCTTCTGTCGACTATTGGCATCGGGATCCACAATGCTTTGCCGCAGCTGTGCTATGAGCATTGTTTGGGCCTCAAAATGAAGACGTTTGAAACTCAGAACTTCACCAACACTCAGGCCAGTCAAGTTTGCGTCGACCCATTCCTTGATTTGGGAGTCCTGAATATCCTGCCCTGGCACTCCGACTGCGTGGGCGACCTGGCCCAGGGTTTTCACACCGATGCCTGCCAGTTTCGTAATGGACTCGGAGGTTATGCCATATGCCTTGCATCGCTGCTCGAAGTGGGCAGTGGAGTCAAGATACGCGGACATGGTTCAGAAAGAAAGCTACGTAGGTTTTTGACGAAGTACGAACCATGATCCATCAAAGAACACATGTAGTGCTGTTGAGGGTTTCTGTGAAGCTTCAGGTGTTTCTGTGATTTGTGTCAGTCGACATGTCTGAACCATCTATGCCAAAACTTGCGCATGCACACACAACTCAAACCTCGTTCACGATACACGTCAGGCTACCTGCACATGTTCAGCTCCACAGATGACACGCTTCCCTCAGGCATCGCACGGACACCATATTTTTCACTTCCCCTTGGAAGGACTCGCTAGCCCTGAGGCTACATCCTGTGCCGCAGTACGCAGCCTACTTGTCGGCTTTCCGACATGTCTGGCAAAATGCCATTGCTTCTCGTGAGTCTTGGAGCTTCTCGAAATTCTTGGACCCTGAGCGCCCGCAAGAGAAGACCATTGTTCCTCCCTCCGAGGTGAAGACGATCCTATGTGCGATGCGAGACTTCACATGCACAGCAACTTCGTGACGCGGCCACTCCACGTCCATCCCCGGTACCTTGGTAGGCATTCTGGGGGGGACTTCTCCCGAATCACTGGACGCAGAGCTGGAGCTCTCACTGGAAGAAGATGAATCAGAGTCAGAGTCTACACAGACTGGACCAGCTGGGTCGGCAATGGGACCCGCTACAGCAGCGACTTCAGTTTTCACGTCTGAGCCTGAGTGACGGAAAGCCTGATCCTGCTCATGCAGCGTCGGTGCATTCGACTCGAGAGCTTGCGACCTCAAGGGAAAATACTCTGATCGGGCAGCATCAGGTGCGAAGCGCTTCGCTGCCACTTCCAATAGCATGCATTGCAGCTCCCGCGCGGGGGCCGTGGCAAGATCCATAGCATACAAGGCTCGTGAGCTGACGGTCGCTGAAGTGTGGCGGCCCAACACCGCACAAACATCGTCACACAATCCAAACTTCGCCGCCCAAGAGAGAAGGGTTCGTTTCAGCGAATGCGATGACACACATGATAACCTGTCTTTGCTTGACACTGGCAGAAGAATCTTCCTGAGGAAAGATGTGATCTCATGTGACCTGATTTCACGCAGGCAAAGGGTGTCGCCATATGAGTTGGCGGGTGCCCTCAGGATAGGACCCTTCAACTCGCCCTCTAGCTTCAAGCCTGCATCTTCCAAACACTCCTGAGCTGCATTCAGCCACGTCTGTCCATGCACCCCGATGGCCGGTATGAGCACCGGCAACAACTCTCTGCACCGCGCCTGTGCACGGCGCGTCTTGTGCTGACCCAGCTCAATGATGAGAAAGCCTCCCGCCGGTGAGTGGTCATGCGTGACATTCTGCACATCCGCCAGGTCAGAATGCCTGGCTCTTGCGTACAATGCTAAGAGTATGTATGCCACCATCGCAAGGTCGTATGTGTGCAGCTCGCGTTGCTCCAACAGCCGGTGCAGGAACAGGATCTCACTCACCGTGAGGGGCAATGCTTGCTTAATCCAACCCTTGCCGGCGCGCATCTGTTCAGTGATTCCGCTGACACGTCTACTTTTGAGGATGTGCGTAAGGTCCAAACCCAACACATGGTGTAAGAACCGAAACATAGATACACAGTCGGCTCCTCGCGACGGGGGCGAGCCTGAATGCCTCAGGTGGCTGAGATACCCCCACACGGTGGCCTCGTGTAGGTAACAGCCGCTCTGAACACATGACTCCATACACCACTTTAGGTAATTTGCAAGGTTGCCTACACGCTTGTTTAATGTGAGAGGACTCCTCACCCCGATTGCCGCTTCCAGCGACTCAGCGTCGACTTGCCCTTGGTGCAGAAGCTCCGGGGGAACAAAGGCGTTACCCACTAGCTCTACGTTAATGGCTAACTTGCGGATTCCAACCTGAAGCAACTCCTCACGGCGTTCAAGATATCCCACATCTTTAACAACCTTCACAACCAGCTTAAAGATTGGCTCGGACGGCGAGGGCAGTTTGGCTGCTGGCGAAAGACTCGGTGCAACTACAACGGGGGGGGGCTCCGGCATGCTACGTCGTGGCATCCCTTTCAAGCTTGGCAAGCTCGGCAAGTTATCGGCAAAGATGCTCTTCATGGTTCATGGGACCTCGCTCCCACGGAAGTTGAAATCCTCGTGGTGGCACTGGGTGCCGTACAAGCTCGTTCATGACCTGCTCTTGTACAAAGACAGGATCGGCCTCACGACTGCCTGCCGACACCTGTTCGGTCACTTCGCCCATGCATTCCTCACTGCCTACAAGACTGTGGAGCGCCCTGTCAAGAGCAGCCTCAGCTTCTGCATCAGCGGAAAGGTTACGCAAGGCCTCACTAAACCCATTGTCATATTCTCGATAGTACTCTAGCTCCTCTTGCTCATCGAAGTCATAACTTGCCAAATGCTCTTCCCGGACCGGCTCGGCCGGCTGAGAAGGTACATCGCCCGGAAGCTCCTCGCCAGGGCCCTGGGCATCCTCCAAAGAGGCTAGAATGCTTTCGGAAGCGACCGGAAGCTGCAGCTCTCCATCTTCAAAAGCACTGGGACCCACACTCAACGGTCCCTTCTCCAACAACACCCCTGCGACTCCTGAAGCCAACCCCACATTGTTCGAGGACGGTGCGGGATCTGAGGAGGCGGTGTCGGGCGCGGCCATCCCTGGGTGGCGGCAGCACAAAGCAGCTGAGGCAGGACTTGGGTATTCACAAACCAAGATGTCTGCAAAAGCAGCAAGCGCTCCTGGCAAGGCAGAAAGGCCCAAACAGTTGCAGTTACTGCAGAATCGTCGAAGAGGTCTTCAAAGCACGCAAGCACTACACTAGAAGAGCCCGAGGCGGGGCTGGCAGACTCAAGCGGCCTCTGCAAGCGGAACTCTAAAGCCGTAACTCGAAGTTGCAAAGAGGAGATCTGATCCTGTAGGATATCCTCGACAGCCCGCAGGGAGCTGGGGTGCACCACCGACGAACCCGCACTGGTGGCGGAGGTATGGCTCATACAAGGAGGCTGCACCTCGTGATAGCACCCAGAGCCTGCTAGAATGTCTAGGAGCTTAGAAGGCCTCAAATGAAAATTTTTCTTTTGAGCCACTGTGGCTCACACTGCACGGAGATGTATTCTGCTGCACCAAGTCTCATCAGAAACGAAACTCCCCCGAGTTTCTCAAATCAAGAATTTTAAAACGCTATCAACAAGTTGACCGCCAGCTGCTTGGACTCTTAGTCAGCATGAGGGCTCTGTGCCATCGGCGGTCGCCTTTGTGCTTCCCTTTTCGGTAGCCCCAGACGGGCTCGGCATACATTCCAAGCTTGCCTGAATACCTGAACCCGGTTGCTCGCTCAAAAGCGGTGGCACCTCCTCTGACAGCAAACCTGTTAAGGATGAACGCTGCATGCACGTAACTCCATGCCATCAAGGGGTGACTGGGTCCTAGGTCATCAGGGCCTAAACCGAACTTGGCACGGGCCTGGTCAAGGAAAACATTGGAAAGCCCTCGCAGCAGATCAACCGTCTTTTCCACATACCCTTTGGAGGCATGGGACTCGACAGCAGCATTGCGCACAACGGTTTTGAAGTTCAATCTTGTTCGGACACCGATGATCAAGTTTTGCAGCGCGACAGTGCTCGGCTCATTGTCGGTCTGGAGGGCAATCGTGTTATGCCCCAGCGACTGCACAAATCTGGTCAGCTCGATCGCTGCAAATTTCAAATCATCTTTACCCTTGCTTGCAACCGGAAGTCCGAAAACTGAACCTGTCGGTGTATCGCGCGCTACTGAAATTGTGAGCTTGTGGTGCTGAAGGTCTGCATCATCTGTGGTCACGGAAGTGTAACAGAAGTCGAAGCTTACAATTGGCGTGTCCCGGTCGGGACTGTCGGGGATCGACTGGTGTCGGTCCTCAAGCCCGCGCATGGACAAGCAGCGATCAAACCAGCCTTGGAAAGGCCAGTGAGTGAGATTGTGCAAATCACGCTCGGCCTTCGATGGCTCTTTGTTCATTGCCTGACCTTTTGCAACACGCGTGCTGTCGCCTTCGACTGCTTGAGCAACCTCACTCTTCAGAGCAATGTCCTGCTTCTCAAGATAACACTTCAACCTGTCAAGACAGCGCTGCTTGCTCCCGGACTGGGAGAGACCAGCAGCCTTGCACGAAGCTCTGATGACATTCAAAGTCGATGCCAAAGACAACTCGACACCATCATACACCAGAACATCTCGCTCACTCTTGCGCTCCGGCATCGGCGCATCTGCAACTTCAACATCAGGCAAGGGAGACACACTCACCTCGGCGGGCTCGAAAGCCTCTGCCATTCCATCATCACTGGGCTCATATTCATCAAGCTCCCCTGCATTGGGATCTGCTGGCTGCGGCCCGCTCCAACTGATGTAGTCCTTGACTGACCTGCTCGGCACGATCATCATGTCCTCAAGCGGTGCTCGATCAGTCGTGAGCACACACACAACATCGGATTCCCCGTGCGGTAGCACAGCAGACAACTCCTGAAGTTCACCCCAGCTCACACAGTGTTCAAGCAGGAGCCAGTGGTCGTAGCCGTCTCGGCACGGCTTCACAAGCGTGGTTCTGCATGGCCACCCAACAGGGGCAACGATGGAAGGATCGATGAAGTGCGACCCTCGGCCGCGGAAGAACATGTCACCCTGCTCTGACATCTGCCATCCAAACGGTGCATCAATCATGCTTGCATCAATCGTTGCTTGAACAAACCTGACATGGAGTGCAGGATTCACAGACTGCTCACCGACACGGTAAATGGCAGCTTTGGTGCATAGCGAATTGCCCTTGAAGCTCATCGGCACTCGGATGCCACTGTCATGCTCAAGACACATGGTGGGCTTGCGCTGTGGCCACCACCCAGCACGCATGAGCTTGCCCTTGCACAGATGCAATCGCGCAAACTTCTCGCCACACAATCGGCTCACCTTCTTCACTCTGCAAAACGAAATCAACTTCTCTCAAATCGTTCACAGCAAGTGGCTCGCCCTGTGCATCTTTCAATGCCAAGCCTCCGGCGCCCTGACTGGTGCCATGCGTGGCATAGCAAAGTGGCAGGCAACTCATGTCTGCTCCACTGTCAAGGATGATCTCATGAGCTTCTGAGTCGTGCACCAACATGTCAATGGAATGCACTGCGCACACAAACTGAGGAATCCCGCTGCAGTCTGACTCGTCCTGAAGATCAAAGGTCGATGCAGCTATGCACCACGACCCTGCATTGGCATCACAAGCTGACATGTCGAAGCTGTGGTCACACTCAGACCCGGTACCCTCTGGCACGCTGCACTGGTCTTGCTCAAGCAAAATGGGACCCTCTGGCACGCTGCACTGATCGTAAAATTCAAAACGACCTGTGGGGACTGGATTGCCTCGGCTCTCAAACCCGGTGAAAATGTTATCAAGACAATCGCTCAAGCCATCCGAACACTCGAAGCGCTCAACTCCCGAAATTGTCAAGACATCTGAAACTGGATATCCCAAGCCAAGGTGGCTGGCACGCATTGCATCAAGAAAATCAAAATCTGAAAATTCTGAAATCCCTCTCGGCATGCAACCTGTGGGGCACTGGATTGCCTTGGCTCTCAAACCCGGCTCGGCTATAACGGCACGCACATGGCCGCCTGCAAACCAGCTTGACGTGTCACCAAGATCAAAGACCTGCACCCGGCGAACGGCTGTGGTTGCCGTGCTCGATGCTGCAGCCTGGCTTGCACTATCTGACGGCTGCACCTCGGAAACCTGATTGACACGGCCCTTCTCATGCTTCTGCTTAAGCCAGCAATCCTTCTCCAAGTGACCCTTGCGCTCACAGTAACGGCAGGTGCGAGTCTCAGCCGAAGGTTGCGAACCCTTGGGGTTGTTGTTGTTACCACCTTTGCCCTTTCCTTTCGGCTTGCCTTGATTCTTGCCCTTGCCGCCCTGTGGCTTACCGCCTTGACCTTTGCCCTTTTGCTTGCCTTTGCCTTTGTCACCTTTGCCCTTCGGCTTGCCCTTATTCCATGCGACACGATCAATCTCCATGGGCGCGGGACCGCCTGAGGACGAAGATGCAATGCCAAACGTGCTGGCAATCGAAGTGCTCCACTTTGTCTGGGAAGTGTCCCAGCGCTCAATCAAATTCCGAAGATCCTGATACGTGGAGCTTTCTGTGATCAAGACGGTGGCCTGGGTCCTGAGTTGTCCAGACAGACATCGGAGGACAGCGGCCAAACGATTGTCGTCTGACATGCTAGTGCCAGTCAAGCCTTCATATTCATTCACCGCACTCTCGAAGCGGGTGAGTTGGGTCATAAGGCCGGTCCGGTTGTCAAATGCGGGCCACGAGTGTATTGCTTGCAACAACGCCAAAATGCGATTGCGCGAACTCGGCATTAAATCTTGACTGAGGATTCTATATGCCTCAAACCCGTTTGCATCTGTCAAGGATTTCAAGACTCGCTTGCCTTTGTCATGCAAGAGCCCGGCTAAGACACCGTAAAGAAGTCGGGACCTGTCTGCTTCAGTTTCAGTCAAGGATGAAAGCGCAATCGGATTGGCAGGCCTACGACGGATTGTCTGAAGCTCCACGCCAAATGCTCGATCAAGACAAGAGAGGTACTGTTCCAACTCCCAAGACCAATTAGCCGTAGCCCACAGTGAAAGCTCTGCATCCCGGTCCTTGGGACGGAAAGGCTCAGGAGCCTTGAGGACCTTTGCAAGGTCGCGCCCTCGGATCGCCTGCTCCCTAGGCGCTGCAGTGTTGCTGGAAACAAGGGTTGTCAGGTTTTCCAACACTTAACCTGAGGAAAACCACCTAGACTAGCGATCAGGGACCTTTCAAAGTCCGGCACCTCAGTCTGGGCGTGCACAAAGGATTCTTGCACTGAAAACGGTATGCAATTGGCGGTGCAGATGGCAGCTCCCTCGCAAAAGAACTTCTCCTTCCACTCCTTCTCTCTCAAACACTTGCTTGCAAATTTGTAAAGCTCAGGCACAGTGTGCAATGATTGGGCTCTGGCTTCGCACACGGCAAAGCTGGTACGCAAAATGCGCACAAAGGACTCCCTGCTTCTACCCTCGGGCTGAGGTCTCGCCCAAAGCTGCTCCTCGTACACAGACAAGAGAAGCTCACGCAGCAATTCAACTCCTGCTAAGGTTGTCGTGATTCGTTGTTCAAGCAAAGCAAAGCTCGCGGCAGCTATGGCTCGTCCGGTTGGCGCCGGGATTGCGAAGCTACGGCACTACAGCCTAGGTTCACCGAAATCACGCAACACTCTCAGAGGAACGCTGTCACAGCCTGGGCCCCTGAACTCAAGCCCACAAGAAGTCCACGTGTCCCGAAGCTGGGTCGGCCCAGCTCCGCTACCATGAACAAACTTCGGACTTTTGCAAGTACTCTGAGCCTGAATGTTACGTCGATCGTACATGCTTCGCATGCTCTTCGAGAAAACTACACGAGTGGTCAAAAGCTACCAAAACTGTTCTAGCAAAATAAGAGTACAGGGCATAGGGGAAAATGTTGATCACCTTAGCTGTAGGTCCAGCTCAAGATTTCGGATCTCCTCAGTGATAGAGGCACCCTCAACTGTCGATGAACAAGATCGCACTAGTGAGTACTTGGCTGCATCATTGTCCACGAAGCTGACTACTTGGGCTCCCCCAAGAAGATGTTGCCATTTCCTGTAGGAGAGCCACACTGGGTACAGCTCCAAAGCATAAATTGGATTGGACGATTCTTTCAGGAGTCGCCTCATGACTTCCTTTGGGGCCCTTTCGCTGAATGCCGATACAGCCCTTCCACTCTGGTCGTAAAGAATGGCACCAACTGCACCAAACTCTCGCTCAGGCTCGCAAGATCCGTCGGTGAACAGGTACCAGGTAGCCAAGGATCGGGCCGAAATTTGCAAAGGAATCGCCGACTCAAGCCTTCTCCTCAAGGTAACAATCGCTGCAGTCACAACTGGGGGCAACTTCGTGGCAGTCGCCCCCGATCGCGCAAAGTGGTCGATCGTCCGCAAGGCCTGAGCTGGGCCCCTGCCGTACGCGTGTCCTTCAAAGAAGTTCATGCGACCCCTCAATCTCTCGGACTCCTTCTGAGAGAGTCGGTTGCACTCCAGCGTTTCGGACAGTGCAGATTTGAGCTCGGATACCCGCTTCTCGGTATGCCCAATCTCAATTTTCCCTTGCTTAAATCCCCTAAGGTCAACCGAAAGCCCCAGCATGCCAAACTGCTCACAGAAGGCCGGCGCTTTCTTACCTTCTTTGGCGAAGTCAAGTCCTAGCAGAGAAAATAAAGACTCTATGGCATAAGCGGTATTCTTTTTCAACGACTCCTTACTGACGACAGAGTAGTCGTCGAAGAAAGCCGTCCACAGGGCCCTGAGGCCTATAACCCCGATCTGCCAAATGCAGGCGCTTATTCTAAGAAAGGCCGACACTGAGCCTATACCCCCAAAGGGGAGGGAACTAAACCCGAAGAGGACAGGGTTAGGGTTTCCAGGCTCTGCCACCATGAATCTCAGCAAGTCGAAATCCCGCTGGCAGATTGGGAATTGTTTGTACGCACTCTTGAGGTCATACGTACGGCCGCATAAGGAAAAGTTAGGGTCCGTAACCAACGACGTGGCGTACGCAAGCATCGCAGCCATCTTATCGATCGAATGAAGTACGAACTTTTCCCTGAGCCCCACCGTCGCATTAAGACCGCAACAAGAGAGATCATCTATCACCCGAATTTTGCCTCCTTGAAGAATGCCAAGATTCTAGCAACCACTTTCCCATCCATCTGTTGCTCCGAACACTTCCAGATCCATCCATGTGCTTCTTCCGAAAGCGTCTCCTCCCAAGTGGCTTTTTCCAGATCATCATCCTGCCTGACCTGGGTCTTCTGCAAAGTGGCGGCATTGAAGCCGCTTGACAGAATCTTCAACGACTCCACTGATAGCTCCGGCCTCTTTGCCGACGGTGGGAACGAACCACTGCTCGGCATCCACCCGCTGAGACTAAAGCCCTCAAGCATATCGTTCACCAGATTGGTGTCGGGAAGGTTGTAGTGCTCTGCCATTTCTTGCCACAGCAAAAGCCTTTATCCCTCCAAAATTTTCTTTATGTGGGGGGGGGAGGCCCTCGTGCAGCGCTGCTTCCTGTTTTTCCAAAGCCTTGGCTCTGGAACGCCACTTCGCAATGAAAGCTAGGCGAGTCTTTGCAAGTTTTACCTCGTCCCCCACGATGTTTTCTTTCACCACCTCCTTCAAGATCGGCTCCAAGGAAGATTTGAAATCAGCAGGGTGTCCACAAGTCACAGCCCGTTTGACAAAGGCTTCAGGCGAGGCAGGTATGCCAAAAGTGAAGACCTCAATCAAGCTGTCTGGGCGAAGAGACTTTGGATCAAGCTGAAGTTTCACGCCCTCTATGGGAGTTCGTTTCTCGGCCTGGTGCTCCCCCCACATAAGAAGACGCCGAGAAAGCAACACTGCATGCTGTGGCGCGGCAGGTGGCGAAGTTGACGGCTCGACCACAATTTGCAAACGATGGCTGTACTCCGGGAGCAGCTGCGGCAAGCTAGCTCCTGCGGGCTGGAGTCCGAGAGCCAGCCGCTGCAACTTCCGCGCTGAGGATTCAGCGGCATCAGGCAAATAGAGCCTCTCTCGAACACCTGCGTTGCGACACACTTGCTTCAACATGCCTGCCACTCGCTCGCAGAAAATCTGCGGGTAAGCTGACGATGAACGGTCAGCAATGAATTGGCGACGCTCCGATGCCACGGGGATCCAAGGTTCATGCTTGCACAACTTTGCTCCGGGACACTGCGCAGCAAGGGAGTCAAAGGCATGATCTGAAGTCCAAAGCTGAAGCAGCTTGGGCCTGGCACCTCCATGTTGGCACATATGGAATTGCACGGTTGATCCAGCATGCATTGCAGCCAAGGATTTGAAGTAATCCGTTTGCCAGAACAAGGAGGTGGCAGCATTTTCAAGAACACACCTAACACCACGCTCCAAGGCAGCTTGAAACAGGGTTGATACTGATTGGTAAAGCTGATTTGCCACTTCACACCGCTGCTTGTCTCTTCCGACGAGGCCATCCAAGCCGTGAGGCCGCTTGGTGCTCCGAAGGGGCTGAGGCACTGGCAAATTCAAGCGCTGGAGCCTGGGAATCGGTTTTTCCCGGGCTGCACTTACAGTATTCTCTGGAACGGCTGCCCAAATCATGGCGATGCGATGTGATTCTGTGATGACAAATTGTTGAAGGCTGCGCACAGAATCTGCATTCGCAAGATCCAACTGATGGACCCGCAATCGTGGTTTGGCATCCGGCTGTTTATGCGAAATCGGCATGACCTGAAACCCCAGCCTGTGGCAGGCCCAGCTGAGGCCTGCAGATCCGCAAAAGAGCTGGATCACCAGCATGTCATCCACACACAGAGCGGATGGCACCCGGTTGAAGACATGTTCAGCCGTTTGGACCGGCCGCTGCAATTGGAAGCCTAGTTCATTTAACTGACAAACCTTCGCAGCACGCAGCTTATGCAAAAACCTGGGAGTGAAAGCGACCAAAACACAACGCCGTCCTACCCAAGGTAGGGTACAATGCCTGGTCGCGGCGGCCGGAAGCCACTGGGGCCCTCTGGATACATCTAAAATGAAACCCTTCCTTTGCGCGTCCTGAGGACAAACGTGAGGGCCTGAGTCGGCTTCATACCAAACCCCTCCCCCTTGGAAAACAGACAAAGGGATTATCAGGTTCCAAGAATCTGGCTCGTTATTGGTGTCTTGGTGCAAGTCGGATTGAGTCTGATCAAGAAAAGCGAAGGCAGCAAATGGATAGCCCCCCGCGAATCGCCTGATGAAGCTGCACACAACTTGCACCGAGATCGGATAGTTCGTCGTGGTATTGTGAAGGCCCACAACACCTCCATGCACAAAACTACCTGCAGAAAAGGATTTTCCCCGAACCTCAGAGCCCCGGGGAGCATCATCTTTTTCCAGCAAGTCAAAAAGTGTCAAAATTTGCTCTGCAGTTGCTTGTTGATCCTTAAGCGAAGACGCAAACTCCTCAGCATGCATGCCCGCACCAAGTTTCGGCTTCTTCGCCAAAGATCCAAAATTTGCAGAGGCTTGTGCAATGTGGCTGGCACCTGAAGACCCGACACTATCAGCAGCCTGAGGTCCTTCAGGCGCCTCCACTTGTCAGGCCTTTGCTGGCCCCCTTTCGCCCGGCAATTGCTAAAGCTATGCCTCGGCCTGTGACAGAACATACACACATGGAATCCCTTCTGGCACTTGGGGAGACCTTCGACAACCTTCGTCTCACTTGCACATCCATCCAGATTGAAAGCCCAGCAACACGGACCTTTCCCGAACTTCTTGCAGCCCTTGAGGCTGTCCGGGATCACCTTCTTGGCCTTTTTACGGATGCGAGGCTTCTTCGGGGGAGCCGGCACTCCCGGCGGTGCTTCGAGGGCCGCCTCCACATCCGGCCCAGCAGTAACTTTGCTTGCAACCCCACCTGGCGACGGCAACAACCACATCTGAATCCTCGAATCCAACATGAGGGACTTCAAGGCTACATTCAGAGGCTTAGTCCCATCAGCCCTAATCTTAAAGGGAGGTGGACACTCTCTTGCCATGATCGTGAAGAGCTCCTTGTCGGCTCGCACCACCTGGGTTGCGGTGACAGGATGGAAACCTGGCGGTACTGGCGCACTCATTGCGCTCAACAGACGGTGGAGGTAGTCCTGGTGGGTCGCCCAATCAATCAGGCCACACTGATCAAAGGCGATGCCCCTCCTCTGGAAAGCAAAATGCATCAACAAAGGAGTCGTAAGATCCGCCTTCGTCTCCGATTCCGGCGTAGCCACTTTCAATGCCTCCTTCTCGATTTGAACCACAGACGTTTTATGCTCAATGCCTTGGGCAACTTCCGTGTCGCGCTTTCCGCACATAGACGGTGGCACCCACACTAAGAGTCCGGATTCAAGAATGTGATTGACCTTATCGATTAAGGAGTTCACAACCAGAAGCTACAGCCGCTTTCTACAGCAGGGCACAAACTGGATTTGTTCAGGGTTCGGCTATGCACTCACACAGACAACGGACTCCTTCCTTTTAAGTGGTGGTCGAACGAAGCAGTTGCGAAGTCTGAAGCAAAGCAAGCTAGAGTTCGATGCATAAGTCGCCAGTACGTCCACAACAACGACAAAAGCCAGCAAAGAGCTATGATATCACAAACATGAGATAGCCTACAGGCGACAAATGCATCTTGAGGCGAAGCCCAGGACGCAAAGGCCCTCACAGGGAGGGACGGGTGGGTGAAAAAACGTAAAGCTCCCACATGTCTGCTGCAACAACATGTGTGAAGCTACTGCTGAGCAAAGCGGCTTTAGCAGTGTAAAATCACCAAGCATTCAAATGTACATGAAGCGTTATAGCTCTGTTGTAAACACGTTTGAGTAAACACAAATACCGTTCACAACCAGAAGCTACAGCCGCTTTCTACAGCAGGGCACAAACTGGATTTGTTCAGGGTTCGGCTATGCACTCACACAGACAACGGACTCCTTCCTTTTAAGTGGTGGTCGAACGAAGCAGTTGCGAAGTCTGAAGCAAAGCAAGCTAGAGTTCGATGCATAAGTCGCCAAGTATGAAACTGCCGCGGAAAAGGAAGGAGACCGAATGCTTTCAATCAGGCCAAAGTAAAGACGTGTTCGGTTGACTGGAATGCCGCAAGCCAGCAAGGCCAACCTTCAGAGCCACAAGTCTCAAGTTGACAACGTTGCACGATGACAAAGCATGACTAGGGAGCTATCAGGCACGATCCCAGGAAACTGAGCCCTGACCGATCTACTCGGCGAAAAAAAAGCCGCATGTTCGAAGTGCGTCGATGCTGAATGCCCACAGCCCATGCCTTCTGCAGCGCGCCCCGCTGGAAAAAGGTGGCCCTCACCGACGGGGGAAGCAAGGCGACCGCGCACCGCCGGCGGTACCACCAAGCAGGGCCAAAAGCGCTTTTTTTTTTTGTTTTACAGCCTGTGATGCTGGACAGCCCACACTCACGGGGGAAGCGAGGCGACCGCGCGCCGCAAGCGGTACTGTCCCACAGACTTCTTGCTGCTTTTTTGTTTTAGCATGGTAGAAGCGAAGCGAAGACTGAAGCATACCAGAAAAGTTCAGCAGCTGTTTCTATCTCACTAGTGCGGCCTGAGCAAGACGACCCCGGTTTTTGACCCGTGCCTACGGCCAGCCCTCACTGACGGGGGAAGCGAAGCAACCACGCACCGTCAGCGGTACTAACCCACAGGTTCATGGCAGACTTGAAAGCTCAAGCTGTTGGCGGTTGCCACAACAAGGATAAGGATGCATGTTGGGCCAGAGGCGCACAACCGGACGAAGATGCCGCAAACGTGCTGGCGGTAGGCGGGTATCGGTAGGCGCATGTGACCGCACGTGTGCCACCACACTGAGTTGGGACGTGCCGTCCCAGCTACAGAAGCAGGCTTGTGCATTCGCCCGTCAACACCAGCATTAGCGGAGCATGTTGAGGACCTGCATGAAACGACAACCGTCGAGCCAGATGCCACGCATAGCGTGTGCTGCCACACAGAAATTACCGCAAAGCTTGTGTGATGTTGGGGACCCCGGATCAGCAATGCGTGGCAATGCGCAACTCAGGAATCTTCGCAGGCTTCGCCGATAGAAAGGTGACACCAATCAGGATGCCAGAGCCTGCACCGCCCAGGGGCTGCATCACCCCAAGTGACCACAAATCTGTCGCCCAGGATTGCAGCGGTTGCATCAGTGTGGGCCACGAACATGCTGCTATGCTGCCGCCGATCCCGTACGGCATGCTGCCGCCGCCAAAGGATAATCCCACGTGATCAGAAAAGGCACCCGGGACGACTTGTAGCTTGAACGTGATGCAAATCTGCAGCTCCTCCCGTACAAAATGTAGTACTGGCAGCTTGCAGCTGTTGCGCCTCCTTCAGCCGCAACTGCATGGGACTACCATCGCCACTGCATTTACGAGGTCCGGTGACTACACAACTACGAAAGTCCACCAGGTCGGATGTTCTAAAGGGTGCCCCCCTGTCTTGCTCCGGACCTTAATACCCAACCTAACAGACAAATACGTTTTCCGTTCGGCAGGGTCTTCAGAGAGTTGTTAAAGGCCTAAAACCTGGTTAAGCAGACCTTGGACCCTCACACGTACAACCTTTCCGAGGTTAGCAGCAAATGCAGCAAAGCAATCCTGATCTGTTGCACATGCGTCGTCTGCTTCCTTGCGGCGCTGCTGCCGCCGCCAGGGGCAGAATCACCAGAAGTGGCTCTAGATCGGTCACACGGACTTGCCGAGCTGCATCAGTAAAAGCCACTATCTGCGATACCGATGTCAATTGTCACCAGAGCCAGTGTCAGACTGCAGCACATGCATCTACAAACACTTGGAGCTGTTGGGCATGCCGCATTTGCTCCTGCATGGCAGTGCTGTCACCACCAACCACATCAGCGTCCCAAAACGAACATGGAAAAATCGCCCAGGAAGGCAGCAAGTGCACCTATGTGCACCTTTTTGGGAAACTGGATCTGTTGCATATGCTTCAGCTGCTCCTGTACGAACCTGCTGTCGAGCCGAGAATCTGCAAGCCAATGGCACGTCGCAGGATCTTCAGCTGAAACTTGCAGCAACACTGTTGCTAATTATTCCAAAAACCAAGACATTCACTTGTAAAAGCATCTAATAAAACCCGTAGTGTTCATATGTAGCGCAGCTGGACGGAAGAGACAGGTCGCACATCTGCATCGTCATGCCACCAACCCAACATGGGTCTGTCAGCAAGAAAGGCCTCGAAAGCACCAGACCCTCTAGTGTTTGCATGTAGCGGCTGGAATCGAGTAGCAGCACATTTGCACAGAATTCGCCCAACTGTGACTGTCACTGCCCCAAACAATTGTCGCATCAAGGCCTAAATGATGCATCACGAAAAAATGGCTGTGAATGTGCCGCCAAAACTCCAGAGCATCTCCGTCACCATTAGAGCCAACAGGATGGCACTTCGGCAAGAGCGCGCATGCAGCAAAATTGCACATGTAGCTACGTAGCATCACGTGGCCGTCGATCATCAAAGCAAGCCCTAAACACAAGCAGAGGCTTCACAAAGGGGCAGCCAAGAGCCTTCTTTCAGAAACCTGATGCTTTACAAAAAGGTTGAGTGATATCAAATATCACGGACATCAATCATATAAGACAGAATCCTTCAAATAATAATGGAATATATTTCAATACCAAAAGTATAAAGTATCAGATCCTCACAATATATAAAAGGAGGATCCAAGGAGTTGTCGCGCCACACTCTTTTTATTCGCACGGTGATCTGGGGTGAATTCTAACTCGGGAGCCCCCACAGCTCCGGCCAAACCGATGTTCGAGCATCACGGGTTTGGCAAGCTGAGATTTTTCAAGATCAAGGAGGGCAGCGTCCCGAATGCCCCCCCCGTCCGCATTGGGTGGGAGGGTGGGAAAAGAAAAATTTCTTGCCTCTCACTTTGAGCAGACTCGCGGGAAAGATAGAGATCTCCGATCTGCCATGTCAAAGAAATGAGGCTCATGCAAGAAATGTTTTCCAAAAACCTCCGATGTAAAACACGGCAGCTTCACTGCCTGTCAAGTTTCCAAAAGAAAGAAAAGTCTGCAAGCAGAAAATGTTCTTCTTTCAGAAACCTGATGTTTTACAAAAAGGTTGAGTGATATCAAATATCACGGACATCAATCATATAAGACAGAATCCTTCAAATAATAATGGAATATATTTCAATACCAAAAGTATAAAGTATCAGATCCTCACAATATATAAAAGGAGGATCCAAGGAGTTGTCGCGCCACACTCTTTTTATTCGCACGGTGATCTGGGGTGAATTCTAATTCGGGAGCCCCCACAGCTCCGGCCAAACCGATGTTCGAGCATCACGGGTTTGGCAAGCTGAGATTTTTCAAGATCAAGGGGGCAGCGTCCCGAATGCCCCTGACATCACGCGAACCCCTGATGAAGAAATCTCTGGTTAGAACTCTCATCATGGATGAAAGCTTCTACAACCTTGGCGCCTACCAAGCTGAGTATGCTTTGCCCATCACCTCGTGAGGGAGGGTCGGCCACGTTTGAAAAGGATGGCACTCTCTCGTACCATGCAACGCAAGGAGCCTCAGCCTCAATCACTGCAAGATAGTGGGCTAAGCGATACATGGATTCGCTCTTGCTCAAACCTTTGATTGCTGATGTGCGTGCAGCTTCGTTGTCCAGCCAGAAGATGACTCTTCGGTTGCACAGGCTGTTTTGGAGCATACGACGCAAAGTGACTAAGGCGTAGAGTTCGATTTCGCATATAAGCTGTGATCCCACATCCAGCTTCCATCGCTCCAAAAGCTTAGTGGGCACACAACCAGCAAAAACCCTAGCGCTATCGTCTAGCGTGTCTAGAACAACCGCACCTATTCCAGCCCAAGGGTCTTCCCAAGCACCGTCCGTCCAAACATGGATGGGCGGTCGCGGGTCAAAGATGCGAAGGATTCTCGGTGGCGTGGTGCTCAAGACAGCCTGGGTGGTTTTGCAGAAGCGCTGTATTTCGGCAGCAGCCGGGCGTTTCCCACGAACCAAGGATAGCAGGAAGTGGCATGCCGGCTTTAGGGATCGGCCCGCGAAGAATCCAGAGGCGTAGTTTAAAAGTCCCAGGAGCACCTGTGCCTCATGCCTGCCAAGGGTACCTCGGTCAAAGATGTTACCAAGCATTTCGGCAATGCGCTTGACACGGCCTTCTTTGTTGGCTAGTACCGCAACACCCTCGTGGAGGCGGCTGACGTCCAGCTGCATTCCGAGTACCGTGAAGGTTTCTTCATACGGTTGACCCTTTATCCCGGTCTGGGCAAAGCGCCACCCCAAGAGTTCCAAGAATTCCGAAGTCAAACCGTCAAGTTCCTGGGCACCCTCTCTCAAAGCGAAGAGAGGATAATCGTCGAAGTAGTTTGCTGAGGGGATCTTCAGCACTTTGCACAGCAAGAAATGCAGGCTTCGGGCCACCCTCACGAATCCATACACCGACGAAGTCAAGCCAAACATCAATGCGTTTGCAACAAAGAATTGTGGTTCCCCCTTCTCATTGGGATGGCAGATTACGGCAATGTCACGGTGCAGCGGTAGTACCGCTAATTGCTTGTACGCTTTCGAAAGGTCGAGGGTCCGCCCTAGCCATTGCCTAGCAGGGACACCCAGGCGATCTGAGCGTTCCTTTTCAGCCCGGGCAATCAGCAGAGCTAGGCCTGAAACAAAGTCGGCTCCTTGAAGCTCCAGCTTGATCAGGGAAGTGAAAGCTTCGTTGACCTGGGAAGCGTGCCCATCATCTATGGGTCGAACCTTCTTTTCAAGGCCGTGCTCAAGAACAAATCTAGGAATTACGCCCCAATCCGAATGGCCGAAGATCTGAGTGACCTGTGCTTCAGTGTAGGGCCCCTCGATGAAATTTTCAGCAACCTCGGAGTTAGAGGCCTCCTGAAGAAGAGAAATTTCCTCAGGGGTCGCACGGTTCGGTCTCGACAAGGCTGCACGGCGTCGCAAGGAGGCAGTAGCACGGAGTTCTGATTCAGACATGGAAGCCATAGCCACCTTTGTCTTGAAGCACTCTGGCTTTTCCGAAGTCCCTACGAGAGGCACCCCCTTTTTCATTAGATCCACTACCCCCATGTCGTCAAAACCATGATTCCTCAAAAGAGACTCCCACAGACAAATCCTTTTGCCTTTGATCACCTTCTCGAACCACGGCGGGAAGGATGCATGAAGTTTCCGCTCGTCTTCTTCCAGGGTCTTGGCGAGGAGCTTAACTTTAAGGAGTTCTAGCTTCCTAAGCTGGTTGGCCTTGGCAGAATCATGGGTCATGCAAAAGTCGACCGCTTCCAACACTTCCGGGCCAGCAGCAATCGCTTTGTCCACCGGGTGTTGCAAAGTGTGGGCTTTGGAGACATGTTGACTCATGTCAAGCCAGTGACCTACCTTAACAGGTCTAGAGCCCGCTGGATCCGAAGTTAGACCCCCACCACTGTCCCCTGCAGCGTGGGTCAGGAGGATCTTGCAAGACTTGTCAGGTTTAAATTCAGGAGTTTCCCAAGTGACCTTGTGAAACTCCGGAATAAGTGGCGCATGGCGATGGCTTTGCTTGGCGGCCGCGGCCAGAGCTGCAGCGTGGAAGTCAGTTGCTGGTGAAAGAGTCCGGCTGGACTCAGAGGCGCAGCGAGCAACACAATCGGCCATGCGGGTGCACAGCAAAGGCGGATAGCACGCACTGAGGCGGGACGACGACCACCAGGATGCATGCTCATGATCCTGGCTACACTTCGCTGCCAAAGGAGAAAACAAGCCTTTGGAGGCCAAAAGTTTGCATTGCTTAGGGCGATCGCCCCCATGTGCGCACATGGCAAAGGTGACTTGCTCAAGCTTGCTGGGTGGCCACCTGATGCCAGCCTGAGATGCGAAGCGCTGCAAAATGTGCCACAGCAAAGAATTTGCCGGGTTTTCGACACTTACCGAAATGTTTGCTTCAAGGCAGAAGCAAACGACATCGAAGCAGAAGCGAAAAAGGGCATTTTCCTTCCTAAGCTTTATGCCTTCGGCAGAGGACCACCGGATGGTGGGCACACCTAAGCAGTGTTCCGACGTTCGGAGCTTGGTAACTTGGGGGCCCTGGAGTCTACGACCGGGCTTTGAAGCTTGGCGCTGAGAGGCTGATGCAGAACCTGCAGGCACACCCAGGTGAACGTGAAAAGGCTTGCACTGCTTCAGCATTGACATGAAGATTTCACGGCCTGCTTCCGTGGAGAAGTCCAGATTGGCCGTGGGGACCATTGCCCCAGCAAGCTTAGCGTCAAAGGCGAGGACTTTGAATCCCTTCCGGAGGCAAGCTCGAGCGAAACCCCCGGTGCCTGAAAAGATTTCGAAGATCCACGGCTCATCAGGTTGTGGGGCCTGCGTTTGCTCGGCGATCTGTAGCGGGAAACCCAAGGAGGTCGGGGGCCTAAACCCTAAGGACAAGAGGGAATGTGCCGCTTCAAGGGTGAGCTTTGACAGATCCGAGACGCAAAAGGCCACAGCAATCAGCCTGTGGCCTTGCCATGGTTCAGTGCAGTGGCTTCGGGAGTAAGCCTCAAAGGTGATGGGTCCAGCGGACACATCAAGCAGCTCGCCAGGAGTCGGTTTGCCGTTGATAGGACGGAGTTCCGAACCCTGTTCGCACTGGGCCCAGATGTGGCCTCCAGTGAACGATCCGATCGGAATGACACCTGTGGGGGACTTATGATTCTTGGAATCAACATGCATTGACGTACCGGAATTGCAAAACAGGAAAACTGTAGTAAAGAAAAGGTCTGGGAGCTGAGCTCGGACAAAAGCTGTGATGGCGGTGGTCGTTTGTGGACAGCTCTTACACTCTCCACGCAGACCCTGAAGCCCTCCCTGAAAAAAAGCCCCAACTCCAAAATTCGGTTGCTGAGTCCTGGCGTCGGGGCGTAGAAATCCATCCGCAACGAGATGTTCATGCAACTTTTGCAGATCAAGGCGGGATGGTGGCGCATCGACTGAATTAAGTTTCTTTGCGAAACACTCCGAGCTCGGAGCTCGGCTTGCACGTTGGGCCAAGGGGACTGCCTCAGGAGCTGGCCCATCCCCTGATTGGCCATCTCACTGCATGCCATGCGTGCACTCACTGTACGGGTGATTCTTATTGCATCCTACTTTCCAGCACTGGTGATATCCTTTCGGGCACCTGCCTTTAACCACCTTGGCCTTACAAGTGCCCAAATTGAACCCAAAACAATTTGGCCGGTTCTGCGAGTCTCTGGCGGAACAACCTTCAGGTATTTCAATCCTAGGTGCACGACCCTTGCCCCCGCCTTTATTGCCTTTATCGGTTATCGCCTTTGCCTTTGACTTTCTTGGGCGGTGCATCATCATCGCCGTCCTGGGGCCTCTTGGTCGGATGGGCCGGTGGAGGCGGTGAGAGCAAGGGTGACAAGAACTGAGTGATGTCATGCGACACCGACAGACGCTTCAGCTCAGAATCCAATGGCTTAGCAGCACCTACCGGTTTCTGAAGCTTGCCCTCAAGGTTATTGGCTGCACGGATGAAGAGCTCCTTATCGGCTGCTACGATCTGCGACAAGGAGACCTTGGTGTACCCCGTGGGAACCTGACGCTGGGTCAACTCAAAGATGGAGTTAACCCACTCCTCCATGACCTCAAAGGTGCACAGGTTGCCCAAGTCTAGGGCTAGCGATCGGCGAAAGAAAGCCTGCCGAAGCGCATAGGCACCATTCGTGTCGCACACCGGATCAGGGGCCTTGGTCCCGAGCTTAAGGTTGCCCTCCGGGTCAATTTGGATCGATGAATCCTTCTTGGCTAAGCTCAGCTCCTGGGAACGAGAGGTCCACCTGTTCATGGGCAGGTAGCGCAAAGAATTGTTTTCCAACATGTCGGTGACCTGGTCGATGCTCGCATGAGATGGCTGATTTGATACGGTGAAGACAACACCTTTCAAGCGAGCTTGCTGGGCTTCTTGTCTGGCCAGCCGCTCGGCCGTAGGAAGTTTCTTGATGGTGTTTTCCGGCTGGCCTTCAACTCGGGTCCTCAAGTCCGCGATGTTGAGTGACTGGCTCTCAAAGAGGAGTCGCCGGATCACAGAAACTTGAAACGCAGAGGGCCTCGGGTCCACGACCGTGGCCAACCACTCATCGATGGCCTCGTCTGTCAGGGCTGAGGAGAGCTCGCAGCAGCAAAGGCAATTTTTCCGAAGGTGTCGTAGCCTTTTTCTTTGAGCTTCCCATACAACTCCGGTGTCATGCCGATGCGAAGACACCTTTCCTGAAACGCTGCTTCGGAGTCCAAGGTGGCTGACGTCATGGCTGCAAATGAATGCGTTAAACACCCGATCTGTGATCTTTGACCAAACACGTGACGGATGATGTTTTGTCTGGTTGCATTCATCACTGGCCGTCTGCTGTGAGCCACGGCCGCAATATGGGCAGCTCAATCTTCCACCCGTGCCACGAGCCAACCCTGGCCGGCACAAAGTGATACGGTCTTCATCCATCAAGGCCAGCCCCGGGTGTCGCGTGACACCGGCTGACATTTGCATGTGGTGACTCGGACTTACAGTCATCACCACGTTAATCAATCCCAGCGCTTCTCTCTCAAGCCAACATATGTCAAAACGGAAAGCTCCGTCGTCAAATATGTCACGCGGGCCTCGGGTGAGAAACTCACCGGCCCGGAACCCAAAAAGGGGTTTGTGTGCCCAACCTTGCGTATCAGCCCTAAGCCATCAGCCCGACAGGATTACATGTACGCGGCCACGGGCACGAATGCCGGCCGATCAGCAGGGACTGTTTATGGACTTAAGAGGCGCAGACAGATCTCGGCATCACCAGGTGGATTGCAAACATACGTTCCCCACGGCTTTTATCCGCGGCGTCCGGACCTGGTCAAAACTCCGATGCTCGACGACACTGAATACAAGGCTCGGGTTCCTCCTCGTCTTCAGTGGTGAAGACTCTGTACCTTGAGGTGACCGGCCTCCCGCAAAAGAAGCTTGTAGCATCCCTAAGTTTGTGTACGATGTTTGACAGGGAATGGATCATCAGCTGGTCGGCGGTGCACTCCGTAAAGGGAAGCCTAGACCCGGTAGCCCCCGCTGGGCGCCCAAAGAATTCCGCCTCGGACTCAGCGGACCTCGAAGCCAAGGACTCCAGCTCGTCGGGTTCCTCGTTCGGTAGTGCCGGAGCGTCTGGCTCCGGGCGGCTGAAATGTCTCGACGCTACAGCTGCAACCCTGTCAGAAGTCGACATGTCGGGATCGAAGTCCCCAGCTCGGATGCTCTCGAAAAGTGCAAGGAGTTTCCCAGCGAGGGAGATGTAGTACTGGCGGGAATAGATGAGATTAGATGAACCACCACGTTTGAAGTGGTGCCCGAGCAGCAACTTCTCCTTGGCACTGAAATGGACTGTGGAGCTCCATCCCACCCATGAAAGTAAGGTAGCCTTCAGACTATGTGTACCAATCGATTCGTCAGGAGAGGCCCCCATGCCAATGGTAAGAAGGAACTCCTCAAGGAGGTCCGAGCCCTCCTCCGAACTCATAGGCACCGTGGCCCAGCAACCGGCACGCTGAGACCAGGACACCCCGCTGGGAAATCAAGGCCTTCAGCAGCACGAGCCTGTAGCCACAACTCCGCCCAAGGTTGGCCGCTTGCCCCTCCAGCCACGCATACGTAGGGCAGAAACTTCGTTTGGGCGTCAGCCGTCAAAGAAGTCTTAGAGCCTAAGCCTGAAGCAATAAGAAGTTGCCCACGGCCTTCACCTATCAGCTCGAGTTTCTTGACTTTTTGAGCATCCGCCCACCGGCAACATGAATGCACGCAGAAGAGCATGAGGCCGAGCACGCATTGCAGCCAAGTTGAAGTCTTGGTCATGAGCTCCTCCAAGGCTTTAACCCTCGCATACGACAAGGGGTCTCGCTGCTTGAGCGGCTCCTTGTTAAGTCGCATGTCTCTGGCAATGCCCCGCACCCGTGATGATAAAATGACATCCAAGGACATGAAGTTGAAAACAGCCACCCCGTGCAGAAACCCCAGCGCTTCCACAAAGTGTGAGGCAGTCGAGGCCTTGGCATCCGAGCTGCGAAGCTTGTTGAAAATCTCG